ATTTGGTCAAAATTTCAGTCCCACCCAGCACTGTCTGAATGTGTCTCTGCCGAATCTGCTGCTTTGTGACGCCAGTTTAAACCGCACGCCGCACAGGTTCCGGTCTCACACCTTCACCGCGCTCCTCCTCAAATGTTTTCATGAGGCTGAGCAAATTAATAATTTTGTAAAATATATGTAATTTTTAAACGTCCGATTAAAATTGGGGAGGTAATGTACACTCTGGATAAATACCATAGGACCCTCTCTAGTGGGTCGCGAGTAAAACAGTGAGCGACTGTGGTGTCACAAAGCGGCAGATTCGGCACAGATCGAGACAGGTCGGTGGGACTGAAATACAGGCAAAAATATAAAATATAAAGGTGGTTTAAATTAAATGTATTTTCTGTATCTTGGCAAAGAGCTATAACCAGCAGCTTTTGTTTTGGCCATAAATGTGTTTGTGTTATCACAAAATGTGTTTTTTGTGATATTCTGTAAAGTTTATTGTTAGCTGTATCTGCATAATCAGTTTCATAGTGATAGTTGTTATAGTATTGTATTTTGAATTAAAATGTGCTGTTACACCAGCTTTGACAGATGCTGTGTAAGTGCACTGTTTAACTGACATGTTCACCAGTCATTTCCATCTAACTTTGATTCCTCCTGCTAACTCTAATGAAGGTTTAGCACAACATACTGCTCAAAGTACAGTTGGAGATGCAGACACTGTGCTTCAGCCACGTTCTGGTGGATGTAAAGACACCTGTTTCCCTGTATTAGAATCCAACCACCCCTCCACCCCCTTCATGTAACGAACTCTTATCCCACATCTGTGTGCCATTCTCCCCCAATTCTAGACAGCCCTTTCAAGAGCAGGTCTTTCCAGGCATGTGGCTTCATAAGGTCAGAAGGCAATCAGAGACCCAAGTGAAATACCTCAGCACCCTCACACCCAGAGTACATAATCCACCCAGCAAGTCTGCTGTCCTCATACTTGGTCTCGTCAATGGTTTTTGGAGAAGTGAAGGGTCTGGTTCGGTGTTTAGTTCAAATGCAGGGTCGGTCACAGGATCTGTGGGATCTCTCCAGGCCGGACTTCTCTCATTAGAGGGGGAAGCAGCTCAATGGGGTTTCTCTGTACTCAGCAGGTTCTGATCCACAGGAGACACATGCCTGACCCAAAGCAGAGCACTTTCCCTCTGTTCTTATCGCTTTATCAGAACCATTCGCCTTAAGAGCCTCACTATCTCAAACATCTCTCCTCCTCTCTTAGAAACTCTTCATTTTTGTGTGTAACTGAGTTACACGTCAGTACAGATGTGTTTGTATTTATGACAGATTTCTCACTTTGAAACAGAAACTGCTCTGTGCATTTTTTTCCTACACTCAGTGCTTTGAATGGGTCTGCATTTGGTGGAAGACCCAACCTCAACCTCTGTTCTCCATATCCTGCTTGTTCTCTCCCTCACTGCTTCCCTGTGGAGAGAAAAGCCAAAACAACCAGTGCAGAGAAAGAAATGAAAGCATGGAAGAAGTTGTTACATAGATGGGGAATGCGGGTGGGGAAAGTTTCCTAAGGACTAAGTTTGGATTATTAGTAGCATAAAAATAGCATGTACATTTGAAGCAAGAACAGTGGACATCCAATAAAGAAGAATGACAACTAACGAGTAGAAATAATATCATACCCGTCTGCAGAAAACATTGCACCAATATGATTAAATCAAATGTGAAGTAATGCATTAGTAAATAGAAGCAGAAGGTAGATCAGTTACAATTTTGGCTGTATGCAATAACTTGACATCTGCTAATATATTACTGCTATGATATTTTTTCATTAAAATAAAATCTTGTTACTCATTGTAAAAAAGACACAAGCTGTCTGCATGTTGATGGAGATTTATACACACTTCGGAGTTTAACCGAATTGCTGTTTATTTAATATAGCAACACATGAAGAGGCTCAGCTTAAATGGACTGCTTAAGGAATCCCTGGCGAAGAAAAATATAAACACAAGAGGGCAACAGCTTACCAGAAATGTCTGTCAGCCAGCATTATATGGCCATATTTCTGTCCAGCCTTCCAGGCCATCAGAAGACATACTTCCAATTAAACAACTGTTTTATTTTTAAACTCTCTGTCTTATTGTTCCAGAATTGCAGCGCCTGAGACTGCTCAGGACGACATCTGTTCAACTTCAGAATCTGGCTCCAGCAAAGATCAGTTGCAGCACAAAGGTTTAAGGGATATCAGTCAACAGGATGTCACTCAGAATGTTTTAACAGAGTTAAGCAATGTGGAAAGCAGTGCCTTTTTAATTCTAAGAATGATTTGTAAAATACCAAAATTTGTTTGCAATCAGAAAACAGAAAAGTTTCATATTTTACTGTAGGAGATTAAAGAGCAAATACACTGAGCATTTCTGCATAACTCAATAAAGATAAACAAAGTCATTCAGAGTGGTTTGTTGTGAAGTGCTCCATTCTAGAGAAACATACTGATAAGATTTCTTTATGGTGGTCATAGGAACCAGGAGTAGAGTGCAAATGAATCTATTTACTACTCAGAATGACCTGTGAACCTACATGAGTTTTAATTTGTCATGTTGATAATGATAAAATAGTGGTAAACCTGGTAAAAGTTTTCTTTGGAACTGCATGTGTTTTTGTGAGGTAGCTTTTAGGGACGTCTGGTTCCTATCACCACCACTGTGAAGAATACTGACTCTGGACGTTTCTGTAGAATGGAGCATTTAACATCAAACTACTCTGACTTTGTTTATATGTTAACCATTTAGTAATGCAAAAATATCGAAAAATCAGTGGATTTCCCCTGTAACGACCACATTCATCATCTGAACAAAAAACAAAAATTTTGCACTTTTTAAAATGGTGCTTCACCTTAGACATTATTTTGCCTCTCACAGTACTGTCCATGTAATAGTGCCATAGTATTTTATACAGTATTCAATGTTTCAATGTTGAATTTACACATGGGACCAGTCAATTGGCAATGCTGCCAAATCCATATTCAGGGTATATCAGACCAATAAACGTGAATAATTATTGGAAATAATGTCCAGATAGATGGAGATATGCCAAATTGTGAAATCATGCGCTCTTCAACGAAACATCCAGTCATTACTAGAGCGGCATTTGGAAAACAGGTGTTTCTAATACACAGGGATGTCTCCACGGTCCTCTACCCCCTTCATTTTCTGATGACGATTCAGATCTGATATTTCATGGCTGAAACTGAGCACATGATGGGAGGTGATTTGAGAGAGCAAGAGAAAGAAAAAGAGAGAAGGAAGAGGGAAAAAAAACCCACTCACTTCTGAAGACATCCATGTAATGGATGCTGATTGTGCTTCTAAATCACTGGAGCCTGTGCCTGGATAATGAGGAGCATGGCCGAGGCAAGCAGAGTGATCATAAATACATAGCATTACTGTATTAAAACCAGACATATTAAAATGAGAAATGTAAAAATTATCCACATCCAACCAACCCAGTCTTTCCGTACTTTTCTCTGAGCAGGTGGCATATTTATAAGCATCATAAACGACAAGGTTTAATTGTCATTCACAATATATTTCTTTCTTCTTTATATTAAACAGAAACAACAGGATTTATCATTTGTTATTTATTTATTTAATTTTATGTATGTTTTTATTTTCAGATATCCATGAACTTACTCTCTTTGAAGCACATGGCTGAATAGAGACGTGTTTAAGGTAGACATTGATTTACATTCACTGTCCAGTCCAGAGAAGCAATCTCTCATTCATATAGGAAGAGCATTGCCACATCTCATGACTTTCAAACCTAAAATAGCTACTTTGATCTTTCATTATCTGCTGTAAAAGTGTCTTGTACTGCTTTAGATTCTGAGGATAGGAGCGTATTTGTGTTTTCTTAGTCTACATCCCAACAGATATGACTTTATTTAACAAAATCCTAACAAAAATGTTGTTTTAACAAATTGATTTTGTTTACAGGCTTATGACCTTGACTATTTACATTTTCTGCATATCTGCAATCAAAATGTCCACACCCTACTGGTTTATGCACTTATTTCACAATAACTGTCACATCTCACTACACAGGCTGTCCAAGAAAGGTGTAAACAATATAGATACTGTATTGAATTGTTTATTTATTGAGGTTTTGTGCTTGGCACCTGTACAGTTTTAAAGGTCTAAAAGGATATCTGCTCTCATGTGTGTTTTTTTAGGTCACCATTACCTGGCCATATAACTATATCGTCACTTAGTATTAAATACTTTGTTATCTACAGCACTCCAAAACATACTTTTATTACTCTGGTTTCCTATTTTTCCACACAACATGAAAACTTGTCTTGCGTGCACTCACCATTACTTATGTGTTTAAAAAGGTAATCCACTCAAAATACGGATAGGCAATTTCTGATAAAATAGGCAAAGAGGGTTTACCAAAAACAACAGTCCTCGAAATCCAAAAATCAGTCACTGCATGCCAGCGTCCTTCAGGTGAACTTTACAAAAGATGCACTTTCTATTGGTGTTAACTGTATGCTTAAGTTCTTTGGCATCACTGTGTTTCATCTTGTTGAACATTTCTCAGTTCTCCTTTCATCACAGTCCTTTAGGAGACATCACTGCTGACATTTGCAGTTTCCAGTTCTCTGCCACTATTTTGCAGTGAATTAAATGTAATATAACAAAGATTAAGCATAAACAAAACATAAACAAGGGCAGTTTTGAGTGTCTCTTGTGCACAAATACTACTTGAGATAAGAAATGATTCACTGAGTCCATTATTGCACCAAATCTCACTAGAATCTTTCAAGAGCACCCTCATAAGACAGAGACTTCACTTGCACCAATACAGCTCTGGATTGAGGTTGGAAATTGTGAGAGTAAGGAGGGCGGGTCAATATCAGCTTACATATATGCCTATTTGGGCATGTATCATGAAGGAAACAGACATAAATAACATATCTAAAGTCTGATTAGGGAAATTTAAGGCCTGGGCGTATTGAGATGATGAGTTCCTTTTTTTTTAAAGGACTGCTCTGTACCTTTATACATCAGAGATGAATGAAGATGGATTGGGTGTTCAACCACAGGCAAACTGCCTTGCTCTTCAAAACACAGATCAAAAATCTGGTTTAAAAAAATAACGAAATTCCATAAGAGCTGAGAATTGAATTGCTATGGTCTCTTGCTGTGATGGTGCACATTACTCTGTTTTTTTTTTCTTTCAAACCATGTGCATGGACATTTGAGAGGAGGAGCCATACTGGCGGCCATCACAGGCCGCAGCCCCCTGCTGGCTACTGGTGGGATTTCCGATCATGTGCATGCTGTCCATGCTGCTGCTGGATAGGTATTGGCGCTCAGCGAAGGCTCCGGCTGAAGAGGAAGAGCACAGCAGGCCTGCCTGAGGTTTCTCTGGGCTGGCTGCCAGGCGCGGTGAGGCTGGGAAGTTGTATCCGTACAGGTTGTAGGGATTGTGCAAGGAAAAGGCATTATACGAGCCCTGCTGCACATGATGATGGCTCCCAGTGAACATGTGGGTGGAGGAAGGTGAGGTTCCTGGGGAGGAGGAGGAGCCAGAGGCTGAGCCCGCCCCTGCCTGCATCACGTACTGCAGCTGGGAGGCAGGGAAAGATGCCAGCTGGCCTCCATAAGCGTCCATCTTACCGCCACCACCGCCTCCACTGCTACCACTGGTAGCCAGCGAGGCGTGAGTGCTACCCTGCATACCTGCTGCTATTAAAGAGGAAGTTCTTTGAGGCAGAAAGGAGTCTGAAGGCTGGCCGGACGTTACGCTGCCTCCTGCCGTTTGGAGGCGGCCATAAGAGCCTTCGGACAATCCCCCGTAGCTCTGCAGGGCGGCCATGTTGCTCCGGGCGCAGGCAGGATACTCAGACAGACCCAGGTTGCACAGCTGGCTTTCCCTGCAGCCCACATTGAAGGTGTTGGGCGCGAGATGAAAGGTGGGAGGCGAGCAGGAGGGGGACAGGAGGTGGGCGGCGCTCGATGGAGATGGTGTACCAGTGCTGGAGGTAGTGGGAGAGGTGCCAGTGCTGCCTCCTGAAAAAAGGCACAGTTAGCCAAAATAAAAAAGGTCAGTAATACAAAACATGAAACCATACAGTACAAACACAAATGCAAAAATAACACAGGATACAAAGACATACTGTATATGCACATAAGGCTTATATATAGCACATCAGAACACATCCAGAAGGAACCAGGCAATCAGAGCCAGCTCTAAAAACAGCCGTACTAGCCAACAATCATACTGAGAATGATCTCTCATTTCAATCTGGGAAAAACGAGCAGTCGCAGAGTCTCCTAAGGGCAAAGCACTGCATCCTAAACATCCTCCAGGAATAAGAGAGAGCCTGTTCAAGATTGGCAATAAATGCCACTTGGAGGCATATAATGGGTCATATATCTCCAGAGCAGTAATCTGCAAAATCTCCTCACTCATAAATAGCTGACAAATTTTCTTTAATATTCAGCTATTATCTAAGAGCTGAAATGATCTTGAAAAAATACTGTGTGGCAAATGTCGTCATGTGAATGTGGCTTGAGTTTAGAATTGGATATCTGGTCAAAGGCCGCCATATAAAAAACAGTATTCATAATGTAGGCACATGCAGTTAGAGAGAGGGAGAAAAGACGCTTGGCAGATGCATCACAAATAAGTCAAAGTCTTGGAACTGAATGATCACTGTGTTATATAAATCACATATTTCTTTATTAATGAGAATTTGGCCTGCACTCATTTTGCTGTTGTCAAAAAATAAAGAGTGTATGGTAAGGAGGGGAATCATGCATTTCAAAACAATTCAGGATTCGCAGTCTTGGCTGCGGTTTGGGCCAGCTCCATATGCCTTCGATAATCCAGCTGAGCTGTGCTGGTTCTGTTCTGCTGGCGGAGGCAGAGCAGAGCTCAGAGTGATGTCATGTTTTTCCCCCTGTTGTCGAGCAGGGCTGAGAGAGGCTTCAGAGGTGCTGGGGGAATAGCTGATTACTTAGAGAGAGCTGCCTCCATTGCTGGAGGGGCAAGACTGTGGAAGTGGGAGGGGCTCGGAGTACCAAAAGTTCATCAGTGGTGCGAGAACTTTAATTAACATTCAATCTTTTTGGAAGAGTTAGTGATGATAAACAGATGTCTACTCAGACAAAATATTGGCTTCATGTGCCTGTTACTCTGCAAGAGAGAACCAATAATATTGCATTTACAATTGCTTGCCAGGACTTTAGATATTAGCCCTGGCTAAGAAAGGGGGACAGTGACTATTACAGTGCCGTTTATCCAAGACGGGTCAAAAATTGGACAAAAATGAGATGCCATGTCAAAAGTCACAAATTTGGTTTGTAGTGCCACAAAAACTGTAAAGCATGATTGGACCCGTCTTGGATAAACGGCACTGTAATAGCCACTGTCCCGCTTTCTTAGCCAGGGCTGATATCTAAAGTCCTGGCAAGTTTGTTTGTTTTTTTACAGAATTTGAAAATGAATTTTGATGATGAATGATATGGTCCAAAATTACTTGGGGAAAAAAACAATTCAAAGTTAAAAAGGTTTTTTCTTCTGTAAAGTTAGTTTGAAGACAGCACTGCTATATTTGATCTCTGTGACAGGTAACATTATTATCATGATGACACAATAAAGGTGTTTTTTTAGAACTGTATATAAAGTAAAGCCACTTAAATGTATTGAGATCCAAATTGAAAAAGAAAAAAATGTGTTTTCCCCATGTACAAATATACACACCTTGCTGTTTCTGCATGTTAGTGAAGTCCTCAAACGTAAGCGTCCTCACAGGTGGTCTCCAAAAGGCATACGTTTCCATGATGGCCTCCAGACCAGTCCTGTGTAAAAGAATGTGACAGAGAGAATAGTGGAAATGAGGAACACTGGAAATACCGAGGAATACAGGTGCTGAAAAACTCGTGTACAAGATAAAAAAAAACAACGAAACGAGAGAGGTAAAGCAATGAGAAGAGAGGGAGGTAGAAAGACAGTGTGAAACGAGAGAAAGTGTCAAATCGTGTGCGTGAAAAAGAGAAGGCGCGATCGAGAGAAGGGGGAGAGGAAGAGGAGGAGAGAGGGAGTTAGCGGAAATCAGAGCCTGTAAAAAGGAGCAGCTTTTTACTGTGCACATAAATCTGGGTGATGTTTCATCTCGGCTCTGTACACGGCTCTCCTTCCTGTGTGATTTACTCCCGTGTGCTGCTCCCGGCCGAGGCACAGGGAGAGCGGGCCTAGCCCTGTCCCAGGCCGCCCCGGCCCACACCACACCGCTTCCCTTTAGGGGCTGTAACTCTCCACTTACTGCTGCTCGTTAGGCACACACGCTAATAACACGGACCGGCTTTGGCCACAACTGCACTCAATCACAGAGTAATCCCTCCATACCAATGGGTCAGGATCTGATTCATCAAAATAAAAAATAACATGACTGAATGCAGGCCTTCAAATTGATGGAACTGCCTGCACATTTTGGCTAAATAACAACGATTAGACAAATCTACTGGGTTTGATCCCACAAGCAGTAAAGTGTTCTTCAGTATACATGGTGTCCTGGGGATAAATGGAACTGTGGTTACTGTTACTGTGTGTCTAATCTACGTTTTTATTACCCAAGCAGGTTTTATATTTTCAAGCAATAATATGAGTTAAATAAGGATATATGTGTGAGTAAATAAATTTTCTCTGTATAAATATCTTACTCCCAAATAATCTTTTCATCTGTATTTTTCTGCAATGAAAATCTAATGCTAGTTCATAAATCAGGCCCTCTATTGTTTGAAAAATGAAAAAAGATGTCTCAAATATCTGTGCCGATAATGCTCTCCAGATGGCAGCCTGCTTTCATGTGCTGAGGGCCTGCTCCAGCCTTTCCCTCGTTATATGATAATTCAGGCTCACATCTTACAGTGATGGAGAGAAACAGAGAGTGGAGTGAGAAGCTTGCAGGAGAAGAAGGTGGAACAATACAGGAAAATGAAGAGCGGATGAATGTACAAGACACGAGGAGATGGAAATTACGAAAGAGGGTGGGGGTGGGAGGGGGAGCGAGATGGCCCTAAATCAGATGCCACTATCACAGATCAACCAAGGTTTTCTTGGCAGGCAAAGGAGCGAGTGATTTTTTTGTGGCAGGACATATGGGATTAAGAGGATTCCCTGGAGGATTATTTCCATATTAAAAGGCCCCGTTTGCAAAACCTGTTTATTTGGTCACACAGCATGGACAGTACAGTGGAGGGCTCAGTTACACTGAGAGCTCATGAAAATTTACCTATTTCTCCCTGAGTCCCGGAATCCTTTCGCAAACGGATTGCGGTCAATCTTTAGCCGGGTGATCTGCAAGAAAAGAAGAGGAAACCAAAATTAATTTACGTTTCTATTAAGGATAAAATAATATTAAGTCAGCACAGCCTGTTTCACAAAAAGGCTATCACTTTCACTTTAAATTCCTTCAAAACATTTGGTCAGGAAAGTTGCAGAAGTGCAGAAAATGCTAGCTGCAATGTTTGGAAAGTTTCTCTACACTCTTAAACGTAGAGGTTTCTAAATAGTTCTTGGCTTGGACGTATAGCTCCAGGAAAACCCTTAATTGGTATAGAATCTTTACATTATGTGGAGGTTCTTTGCACTTGCACATTGAATGGTTCTTTGGGGAACCAAAATTGGTTCTTCTATGGCTCCAAGGAATCCTTTTTTGGCACCTTAAGAGAGTACTGAAAGGTGCTATATTCTGACAGATGGATACAGACCTGTTGGTTTTGGTAAGCTGTGACTGTGGTGAAAACAGTCTCGGGGAAGCTGAAGGTTTTCACTCCCTCCCCGCTGGGCACTGGTTTTGTCGGAGAGAGCTCGCTGCTGAAGTCCTTCCGGATTACATGGACACGAGGTTGATATTTGTGCATGGAGTGTAGGATGATCTACAGGGAAAAAAAATATGATTTATGTTTCTGATATTTGTCCTATCTGTACAGTACTACGAAAAAGACCACCTTTCATTTATTTAATTTCCAGTCAAAATGGACATTAAGTAAGTTATTTTTAGGAGATACTTTTGCGAGTATTAGATATAAGATCATCTACTTGTATAAGGAAGGAGAAAGTCATAAGAAAAGAAATGAAAAAACAGAGGTTTTCAAAACTTGAATTATAAAAATATATAGAGAAAATGGAAATCAAGCTGCACTCTTGACTGAGATCTGAAAAAAAAAACAGGTGTTTCTGTCCATCATTCCACTGTGAGAAGACAACTCAACACTATGAGTCTGAAGGGATGTGTACCCTCTCAGAAAAAACTCCCTCTGGACTCTTCAGTTTTCAATTCCACTGAAATTATATATTTTAAGTATATACTTTAAACTTGTCTCCATGCTTTTGATTTCATTGTTATGTTTTAAAACATTATGTTACACAGTTAAAAAAAATAAATAAAAATTAAGGGACACGGTTAGACCTTGAAACCATTCCTGTACCTTTGAGGGTACATTTACATTGTTTGTACCTTAATGAACAAAAATTTACCCACATGGTACCTTTTTTTCTGACAGTGTAGCTGTCAAGAAGCCATTAGAAAAGGAAATAAACAAAAAAAGAAAAAATGGCAGGTAAAAAAGAAGCTGCTAATGTTCCAGAGAGAGTCCAGACCTCAACATCAGTAAATGTGTCTGGTATTACTTAGATCATGAGAAGCAGAAAATGCTGCCAACTTCTAAGACCAAACTTTGGAAGTGTGGAAAAAAATAATTCTCTGCAGATTTCTTTGAAAAGATGAAAGCAAAATTTTCAAAAAGAATAAATGCTGTAATAAAGGTAACAAGTGGACACACTAAATATTGAAAAATATTATATTTAGTGCTGGAGATGCAGTAAGTTGTGCAAATAAACATTTTCTGTTTTTTTCCTGACACTGAAAAATAAATAACTTGTACTTGATGGCTGTTTTGACTGGAAATAAAATAAATGAATGGTCGTTTCTGACTTTTGTACAGTGCTATACATTCATCTACATTTGTGTCATCATGTATCCCAATGAATATGAAGGCAAAAATGCAGAGCCCTGAGTCGACCTATACTCAGCCCACGGTGAGTATTTCACACCGCTGCACCGGCGTCAGTGGCTACAGCCTCCCCTCCAGCCTTTAGTCTGTTTTTCATTAATCCCGGTGTCAAAGGGGCTCCCCTGGGCCAGCAACAACCAAGGGGGTCAAGATAGAGAGCAGAGGGATTTGCAAAACAACTCCAAAGATTGGTGACAGTAAATGTAATGTTCCTACCCCACCGTCTTTACCTTATCCAACTGCATGGCCCAGGAGATCTTAAAGCTGCCTCGGGGTAAGACTATACCACCTAAACCCAGGGGAACCTAACTATACAGAGCCAAGAGAAGTGTGCCGAACCGCAATCAAAGCATTAAATTAGACTTGACTGAGTATAAGACATACTTCAGCAACAAGTTAAGAGCATAAGTTTCTATCTGACACAAGGTTGTGCTAGAAACCAGTAGTTGCTGTCATCATAAACCTCATCTCTGAGGTGAAGAAATCTTACACGAGACGGAAAAAACGTTGACAACATGTTATTCCAAGTAGTTTTAGACCATTTCTATTGGTCCATTTGTCATGAAGTGCTCACACAATGTAAAAAGCAACTTGCATTATCAAAAGCTAGAAAAATAATATAAAATAAAAATTAAACAACCACAAATGTTAGAGTTACAAAGTTTTGATACGACGGTGATCAAATGGAAATTTGTGCTTTTTAAAATTTTCAGAAGCTTTCATAAGATCTCCTGATCCGTTAGTACTGTCACATTTGCTGTCTTGTGTGTAGACCACAACGGCAATCGTTGTTAATCAGGACTTATCTTAAAAATACATTTATATTTGTACATGCAGTGCTCCTTAAGAGAATGGTCAGTGTGAGTATGAGGAAGAGGAGGGTAGTTGAGAAAGGGGTGGATATTCCATCATAGCGAGGTGTCCCACACAGGACGTTCCACTGTTAACTTGCACTCCGCCTCTCCGCCTCCAGGCGAACAAAAAATAAAGTCTCTTTTTACGAGGCTGTGGTCGAAGAAAAAAGGCCCTTCTCCCATTTCCAAAAAAACACCAGCCCTCTGGCGCTCTAACACCCATATGTTATTACATTTGTCAGAATGGTAGAGCGATAGCATCAGCCATTCAAACAAAAACATCTCCATATGCACAGAAGATGCCAGTGGAACTCGGCATCACCTTCGTTTCAGACAGCCATTTTAAGCGTCTAAAATGCAGAGCGAGTCTCAATCCTGGCATAAAGAATATATGCCCTGTTAGGCTCGAATTAAGAATGCAGGCCTTGAATAGATGCATCGACTGCTTCACATTTCTGAAGGCCCGATGGTCACAATAATCAAAGCAATCTGACTTCACAGACTTGAAGGAAAGCCTTAGACTATCTTTTTCCCATTGCTGTGTCAAAGCTTGTCATATTCAATCCCAGTCAAGAAAACATTCAGGAACAGAGGCCAAAGTGACTTAAAAAATAATACAGCAACTACTAACTTATTCTCTCTGTGATGAACTCTCCGCAGGCTTTGTAGCACAACACTCAATATCTTTTCTGGAACTGTGAGACAAGCTCAGGCCTTTCTGAAACCATACTGAGCCCATTAGGCATGTTCGCCTTGTGAGTGTTTCTCGCTCTCTCTTTAATGGAGTTAGATGTATCACCCCATTTTTCTACATCTCTGTCATTGTGATGATATATATCCATGACAACCCAGCAGGATGTGCTGGACATCACTGAGTGTCGTGTGATGCTCCCTCAATAAAACCGTCTCTGTGCACTCCAACAAAGGGAATCGCATGCGCAGAGCGCGCTTTATCAAATCAGGGAAAAATACTTTGGACAGTCCAAATTACAGCAAAGTTCAGTCAGTCATTCTCTAAGTCAGGTTTATGACTCAGGCCCAAGGTAATGAGATCTGGCTGGCACGCTTGAGTGCAATTCAAACACATCAGGAAAAAACATGAATATTTCTCCAAACAACACAGCAGGCCCGTACTCTGCTTTGTAGCCAGTGGTCGTTCAATTCGGACACATAGGAAGCATTTGTCAAGTGCATTCGAATCCTTCGTTTTCCATTTTTCGCCAGTCCCCCTGAGAGTAAGTTGAATAACATTTTTCTTATGGAAAGAGGATACAGATGTCAGGAGAGTCCATAAGGCATGTGATCCATCAGCTAGCGTCTGGGTTATGAATTTTGTGGTGTGGAGGTGTGTGCTAGAGCAGGTGCACAGCCAATCCCCTCTCTCCACTCACAGGTGTGAAAACATTCACCAAAGCAGAGATCCATTACACATGTGAGCAGTTTATAGGTGAGTATTTGTCCTGACAGGTACTTCGTAATGTAAACTGCAGAGCAAGCTTCATTAAAAATCATAGATCTGACTAATAAAACGTGGGAGTTTTGATTTTACTTGAGAATCATTTCATATACATACAGCATTTCCATAGCAAAGTAGTGAAAACATTAAAAACTATTCAAATAATTATGCTGAAATGCCCAAAGATGTGGAGATCTAATATTTTTTGCTGAATAAAAAGCACTTAGTACATGTTTTTATGTTTACATTATATCCTTGCAGATTCTGCAGCCTCCACATTTACAAATTTTGTATGTCGTTCTGGGTAAGTGCACTGAAAAAAAGTAATGCATTGAATTTGATTCTAATGTGCACATAATTTCCATATGAAAAAAATATATTACTAGGGTTGCACCGATATAGGAATTATGGGCTGGTGCTGATGTATGTGTTTGCTGTAACATTTATTTCTGTAAAATGAATAAAATTAATTTAGCCTAAATGTTCCGCACTTCCACGGTACAATAATTATGTCATCAAGTATTGGTTAAATCTAAACAGCTGATATTTTTTAACCACTTGTTTGCCAATTTAGACATAATTGCCATCATCGTGTACCCTACACATTACATCAAAATCACATTTATTGGCAACTATAAGTAGACTGAAAGGAAAGATGGTCTTCAAGTACACTGTAAAAAAATGGCTTGTCAGATCAACCTAAAAAAATTACTTAAGGTGGTAACAAGTATACTCACTAGTTTTATTCAACCTAAATAAATACTTTGAATGAACTATTCTTTCAATGTAATTTTTTGAGTTGAATAAAACTAGTTCAGTTGCTAGTTACTACATGAAGTCATTTTATTAGGTTGATCGGATGAGCCATTTTTACAGTGTAATATTTTAAAATATTTTTAAATACTTTCCTTGTATTATTTTTTCCCCTGATGCCCACTTACAAGAATCTCTTCATCCCTTAGAATTAAACAGGCTGTATTTTTGTTACTGCGCTTTTAAGACTGATATATGTAAATGACTTCAGTTCTGACTGTTTACCCTGTAAAATACTTCTTAGGAATACAGCTCACGTCAGCATATAGGCTTTATAGGAGGATACGTGTAAATATGTTGGATTCGTGACATTACAAAAACAATGAATTCAGGAAGGGCTGTTTTTGTAGCTTATTTTCCATATATGGAGTGTATGACCTGAGGTAGGTATGTTTTGAAACTTTAACAATGTTTACAAAAAGTGTTTAAATAAGTGAGGATATGGGCCTTTAAGTAGATATGATGTACCCATTTCAGTAAATTCAACAGATGACTCTTTTTTTAGTGTGGATCTGCTAAATGAATAACAAAACGAATGTATATGTGTTAAACTCACATGGCCTTGGTCATCCAGCTCATTGTTGGTGAGTTTGAGCTTGTCAAAGCTGACCACCTGTCTCATCCACGTGTCTCCAGAGGCCAGTGAATCCGGGTGTATATAGACACGTGGAGGCACAGGAGAGTCCGCATTTCCTGCAACCATCCACTTCGAGCTGTGATACACATACCTGTAAATGCAGAGATATGATATAAGATACAGTCATGCAGCACATTAACCAATTTGATATCCTATGACTATATAATAGACCGAATCGGAATTGATGACCATGGCAGGGACACACTGTGCCAAAAAAATCAGCTGCGTGAAGCTGATGAAAGTGCAGTGCCAGCGTCGATGTATATACACAATACCAAATACCTAAATAAGAAATCAAATGTTCTCTCACTAGAAAGTCCTAAATTAAACCTCTGTTGTAACATCGGATATGCAATTTGTAACCTTTGGGTCTGCTCCCAGCCCTCTCTGTCTAGTTGTTCTCAGTGCATTCTCCATGCTGACTGTTCTGAAGGCTCTACACTCTGCTGCCTGAGGCACAGCTGGTTGCCTTTAGTTCTGGCTATGAGCACAGTTGAAAGTGCTTAGCTGTAACGCCTTTGCCAAAGTCATCACTCAGCCCTAAAACATGGACAAAACGCTCATTTGGCCCTGTTGTTATTGCTTGGCAGCGCTAAACGTCCTCTGCGTCCCCCTTACATCCCCTTACAGCAGCCTTCAACACACTTACACACACACACGTACGCACTCCAAACGTATTCATATACATATTCAAAATATTCAATTCATATACTTTACAGTGCAAAGGTCTTAGGCACCTAATTACATTGTTTAAAATTATTTATCTTGGCAATTCGTGTGTTTTTGCCTTTACAAACACCATGTAGAATTAGAATAAATACAAATAAACAAAAGTACTGTCAAACATAGTAGTAGTTGAGCTTGTTTGAAGAACAATTCCATCACCAGCACACTTGATTTAACATAGTAGTTATCAAATAACCAAGTGTTGGACGATAACTACAATTATTACTGGGCTTCCACACAGAGATGTTTGGAACTGGTTAAATGAACACATTGATATTTCATTGCAGGAAAATTTCATGATGAATGGTTCAATAGAAATGCTCCAAAATTACTTGGAATACTTTTTTCACATTAGCTTCCATGGTAAGTTAAGAATGTTTTTTGCTTCTCTTGCAAAGTTACCGTTTTGGAGATACAAGGTTTTGTTTACACAGTGACGATATGTAAAATTATTACTTATTGTCATTCAATGTATAATGAGTTTTTCTGATCAGATAAACATTTACTACCCAGAATAATAGCCTTTTCATTGGAATTTTCTCAGGTGCCTAAAGCATTTACACAGTACTGTATATATAAACAAAAGTACAGTGATGCATCAATAATAGCGATGTATATATATATATATATATATATATATACATATATACACACATACCAACCACCACCCCCACCCCACCCCCCCACACACAGAATACCAGGCGTTTCTGTAATTTCCTGTTTGGAGTGCTGTTTAGGGTTACGCTCTGTGTAGCAGGGAAAGTGTTAAAGAAAGGGGAAACCTAAGCCCCCAAACAGCGCTGGAAATTTGATTAGTCTTCTTTCATCTTCCATAAATCTGCCATCTGGCACCAACACAATCAATAAAGATCCAACTTTATGTGACACCCTTCTGAGAGCTGTGGAGACATAGCTGTCCAGTTTAAAGCTGTATCTGCGTATAGTGTTTAAACAGGGCAATGAGCAAACTAAAAAAAAGTAATTAAAAAGAGATTGACTGTCTTGCAGTGAGTTCTTGACAGAGCTGTCTAGCATGACTATTACCCCTCTTCTCCTTGTGAATCGACACGCTTGAGTCACAAAAATAAAGGCGAGTAAGACGGAACACCAAAAGAAAGAAAGAGAGAGAGAGAGAGAGAGAGAGAAAGAGGGAGAGAGAGCTAGAGAGAGAGAGCGAAAATAGCTATATATACATTGATGAGGTCCAGAGAGAGAGATCCAAGGAGTTGGACAGTTCTGCACTTTCCTATTTGTGCTTTCGAAAGTAGACCATACTCAACTGCCACATTAAAGAGAAAAAGTAATTCAAGAAACACATAAAGGAAGATTTAACAAGTCTAGCATAAACTCAACGTTCCTTAAAAAAGGCAGTGTGCCTAAGTAAAGTGAGTAAATTCCAATAAAGGCCGCGTTTCCAGACCCAGGCCTCGAGATGGATGAAGCATTCCAGTGACAGCTCTGTGCTCCGTTTGCAAAGCCTTGTGGTAAATTCCCCAGCCAGGGAGAAAATCCCATTTAATTTTACAAGATCTTTTGGCTTCTAAAATCCTCTGCGATATTTGGGGCCTCTAAATGACTCTCTTCAGACTGTGCTGCAGTGTTTGAATGACTGTGATTCTATTTTCAGTACAAGATTAATTCAAGCATAATTTGAAACTTGAATAAAGACAACTGGCTCAAAAACACTGTCACACTGATGTGTAACAAATGTCACAAAGTCATAAATTATTTTCAAGCTACCTGCAACAGCTGTAGTGCTGTGGTGCCACATGCTTATTTCTGTCATTATCAGTCCACCCAAGTACTACACAAGTGGTGGACCATGTTTCATGCTTAAGGCACCCGTTTGGATAACATAAAGCATTTTCTACTTTGTTTAATCCTTTAAGCAACTTAAACACCATAAAGTGACAAAATGCCAATGGAACAGTGAATAATATCCTCTCTCTTATATTTCATCTATAAATGCATGAATAAAATTACGTCACTGTTCACAAGACTTAAAAAACAGCAGGAATTTCAGCCTTCCTGGTGAAGGATCTGTAGTGTGATCCTAAATCCCCTTTACTCCTCTCTAGCACATGGATGAGAGTGGATTCAGCTTTTTCTGGAACTCTGAAACTGGTATAAAAATACACGTTTGAGGCCCTGTCAAAATCAGTGTTAAAAAAATGATGTGTTTATTTTGTCATGGTTGAAAAAAGTCTTCATCATGATCTCTGAAAGCAGAAACCTCTTAAATCACCAATAAGGTCAGTTATGTGTCATTATAATATGACTGGATCAATGTGTGACTAAGGTACTTGTTTTAATCCCTTTACTTAACCTGTTCTTTTTGAAGACTGAGAACAAATGCATTATTATAAAGCCTACATGTGATCTTGGGTTCTGTTGAGATGAAATGGATCTGCTGCGAGTGTGATGGAACGTTGTCATGGTGCAGCCGTAATCACAGAGACACACTAAACCGCCCTCGCTGCTGATACAGCAACTCAGCCGTGACTGCTCTGTGTATCTACTGCTCCTGCACGCCTGCCCTCACACACACACACTAGCACACTGCAGTACAGCTCAGTCCAGTGTAGATTCATCATGTACAGCACCATGCAAAAGTCAGAGACCCCCCTTCATTTATGACATTTCCAGCCAAAATGTAAATTATGAACATATTACTGATTTTTCAGGAGATGTTTCTGAGGAAATTATATGTAAAGTAACCAGAGTTTCCAAAAGTAGAGTTCAAAAAATTATTTAAAGACATAGAGAAAATGGGACTCCAACCAACCATGCCTAACAAAGAGCTGGTAGACCACCAAACCTGTTATCCTCAGTTAAACAGTACTCAAAGCTTTCATCTTTAAAAGTGAGGAGAAAATCAAGTGTCACACTTGCATCAGATGTGAAAAAGTCCACAAGTGTTTCTGTTCATCCTTCAACTGTGAGAAGACAACTCAACACTATGAGTCTGAAAGGGTGTGTAGCTGTCAAGAAGCTGATACGGACCAAAAAAAAAAAAATTCACTAGAACACAGAAACTGGACATCTGCGATGTGGAGTAAGATTATATGAGTCTAAATATGTAATTGAGATTATTTGGGTGTTGAGAAGCAGCAAATGCAACACTGAACTTCATATACTTAAAGGCCATTTTGACTCGCAATCATATGGATAAAGGGTGATCTCAGACTTTTGCACAGAATTAACAGCAGAATTAACCAGCAAAGTAGAGTAACTCTCTCTAAAGATGAAGAACCGATGAAGACAACAGCCTCAGTATCCTTCTTTGACCATTTCCTTTCATTGTCCCTCGTTCTTTGTTCAGGCAGAAAAATCTACACATTCTCACATTCTTATATGCTCACCTGTATCTCTTGTTGTCCACAGGGACGATGTCCATGGCTATGTAATACTGCTGGTGAGGATCCAGTCCCACTATTTTAACCCTCATGGCTGGAAACATTCTCCTGTAACAGAAATGAATAAATAAATAAACGCATATACCGTAGGTCTCAGACTACACTGAAAATCTGGTATTTTTTCATTTAAACCTGTAAATAAATAACAGGAGGTTTTAGAGTTATGAAAAACTTATAATGAAGGATAGATATGACAATTAAAATGAAGAGGAAATGTTTGAAATTCTGCACTATGTTTAGGTCACTATTTAAATCGAAGCAAATTTGTGAAAGTGACCATGTTATGGCCTTTGTACAAAACAGTCGGATATCTCATTCCATCCCTTGAAGCTCAGAAGACTCTCAGGTGGATTTGATCTACTAATCAGAGGCTTTTGCATAAACTGGTGGAGTCAATGCCAGCCTGAACCCACGCTGTCACTAAAGCAAAAGAGGGACACGCCACCAAATACTTCGCAGAAACATTCAAAGATTACCTTTCACTTAAACTGGTAGGCTGATAATATCATTTCTAATAAAAAAATTACATTAGAAAGAAATACAAAATAGTAGCATTTTCACCAGTGGTCTCTGACTTTTTGGACCCCACTGTATATACATTTTAAAGTATTTGAGTGATTATTTCAGGATTATAAGAAAAGTTAAGTTTAACATATCCTAATGTGCTAGAAAATCTGCAATCTACAAAAACTCAGAATGTATATATTTTTGTACAAGATTAGAGCAGTGGTGGCAGAGATTCAGACACTTCAAATAAGACCAGCATCCCTATTATCAATAGTATTTGAATCAGATATGATTATACACTTAAACATGCCTGTAACAGTAAAATAAGGGGAATAAGGGTGAAATGAGGGGAATTGAGGATCTGAGCTGGCGCTCTTTCGCCGTTTCCACTCTCTGAAATGTCAGTAAAGTTGTAGCGAACAGTGAAGAGAAGTTGAAGAGAAGCGAAAGGCAGAGTGAACCGGCTCCACACTTTACACTTCAAAGCGCTTTTTCTTTTCATTTAAACGTCGTAAATCTCCCCGTTTATAATGAGAAAAAACTGCTGCTTTTCCTCTCTCTCCTTCTGTCTCTCTCTCTTTCTCTCTGCCTTTTACTTTCTGTTTTTCTCTATGTCTGTCTCTCTCTGTCTGTCTGTCTGTCTCTCTCTCTCTCTCTCTCTCTCTCTCTCTGTCCGTCTGTAGCTCAGAGCAGACTGAAGGTCTGAGTGGACACAGTGTTCATTGCAGCGGCGGTGTGAGTCACACAGGCGGAAGCTGTAATTAGTCTATTGTTCGTTCAGTGACACAAGCAGCTCTTTATTTCTGTGTTTAATTGTATGTAGTTTTTCCCAATAACGTCACTTCTGTTTTGCTGTCCTTCACTGATGTGTGTCAGACTCTGTGAATATGGATCTGTATTTGTGGTGAGGGTTCAATAACAGTTTGTAAAGGCAGAAATCCGCACTGGCTTGGGTGTAGACTTCTACAGCTCGCCATGTACACTGTGCTTTTATTAACAGGATATTAATAGTCACAGTAATACTGCTGTATTTTACTACGCGTGAACATGTTACAGTTAGCTTATATATATATATATATATATGTATATATATATATATATATATATATATATATATATATATATATATATATATACATAAGGCTGCAGAACAACACCCGTGTTTAACTCAGTTTGATGAAGAAAAAAGCCGTAATTTGCTCTAATTCGTCTACAGTGATTGAATATTGTGAAGAGTTATACCTTGGATGAACATGTAAAATAACTTATTATTATTATTATTATTATTGTTATTATTATTATTATTATTATTATTACGTGTACTTTTTATTCAGAATCAATTCTGTATTTCCTATTAGCAGTCACCAACACTAACCTTAATAAGATAAATTAAGTGATAAACTCATTTTCTAGCCATGCTTTGATCGTTTTGAAATATTTCTTCATATTTCTCTGTACTGAAGCGCGCGCTGGAGCTGCACTAGCTGTTTGTGTTCACACCTACATTTTATTTGAGCGTCTGAAAAAGAACTGATGCACTGAATGTGCTTCATTCACATGTGAGAAATGATTTTCTAAGTGAAAATAAGTTAACACGTCCTCTACAGAGAACACACTATTCTGCGCATTTTAATACACGGTCACTGTTTATTTGCTGAATTTAACACTTTGGGGGAAAAAAAACCCTGTAGCCTGTGCAGACGTTACGGCACAGTTTATATTTTATGTTTTATTTTTTCCAACATGTTAAACTCAACAAAGACATAAAATTTGTGCACTAAAATGAGCAGAAACAGTGCCATAAAAATGCTGTATTTTCACTCGCACTCTTGCAAGCTTTTTTTCTTTTGATGCGTAACAATAGTGGAACCTCTTTTTATTGCTGTATGGAACCATTTTAAAGGGTTCTTTAAAGAATCATATACAACGCTTTTTATTATTATTATAGAGAAGAAACATTTGACCGTGCAAAGAACCTTTTACGCATTCACCTGGCAGACTGTCGTCACTAAAAAACCCTTTGAGGACCACTGTTACCAAAGCGCATTCTGACTAGGGTGCACAAACTTTTGCGTACGACTGTACATCAACACAATTATTGCCAAAAGTAAACGAACCAAAAGACAAAACCGTGCTGATGTGATGGATGTCATTCAGAGATAATGTACAGAATGAGACAAACTCAGTGCAGCACTTATTTCAGCACACAGACAAATAAAAGCAAGCGCGGTGGACAGAGTCAGTCCGTCTGAGCGATTCTCAGCTTTAAGCAGCCTTGCTGACGGTGCGGCGCGTTTCTGGTGCTCTCCTGAAGCTCCGCTCTTCTTTCGGGCTGCGCAGTTCTTTCGGGCTCCGCAGTTTTCGCCCAAAAGAGCCGGAACAGTAAAACCATGTATTAGAGGGTTTAATGAGGAGCGGCCCAGAGTGTCCGGTGAGCTGATGTCCTGTAAGGTTCAGTCTCAGTGTCCGGAGCCCTCGAGCCCATATGCAACGCATTATCACCAGAAAACGCCCAGTTTATTTCCTAACGACAGAGGACGCGAGGTGGGTAATGTGTGTATGTGTGAGAGTGTGTCTGTGTGTCGCCCCTTTTATGCCACCGTCTGTGGGGGAGAAATATGTCTTTAATAATGTACAGCACAGTGCCAGTGTAACTGCTGGCCTCCCGCAGGAGTTTTTAAAATCTGGATTGTTTCACTTTCCAAACAGTGTGAGTTGCTCTCTTACCGTCCCGCTTTGGTGATGATCATCTCTGTGCCGATGTCGTGGAAGCGCTTCCACAGATCCGCGCACTGCAGCTCCACCTGAATCTCCTCCATAGAGGCAGCAGCTGCCGCGGGCTCGCAGCACGAGCCTGAGACCACCCCCTCACAGTCCCCCTCCGAGCCCGGACTGCCCGCCGAGTCTGAGGGAGAGAGAGAAAGAGAGACAGACAAAGAGAGAGAGTTAGAGAGAGAAGGTCGGACTCACATCATCAGCATTAAGGTCGTGGTTCGGAACTGCGGGGGTGAAATAATTATTTGTATACACTTTTACAACACAGACTGTTCATAAATATATAATATATAAAAAATAAAATATGCTTGGCCATTAAAACCATTAAAAATTAAAACCATACAAACAAAAAATAAATAAAAGTATAACAACAACAACAACAACAATAATAATAATAATAATAATAATAATAATAATAAACTGACTGAAGTTATTCCTCCGTGACGGCCGATGATTTTTTTTATTTAAACTCACGCAATGAAAAAACTGTTTTTTATGCAACAGTTTTTTTTAAGTTGCCTGAATTATTTAGATAAATAACACTTGCTAATTTAACTAATAAAAGTAAAGGATCAAACTGATTTAAAATAAGACGCTATTCTTTTTTGGAGCAGATTTACACGTCATCAGTGGCTGTTCACAGTGAGAAAAGCGCGTTAGGCGCTCAGCCGCTCATTACAACGAGATCTTTTCATCTGAAAAATCGCGAACTGAAAATTCAGCAGCATCTCTCTGAGACCCATCACACACAAGACGAGCCCTCAGACTGTCGATGAGATACAGTTAATGTGCAGGACCGAATGATTTCTGAATGAATAGAGTTGGAAATACTTACTGCGCGACACAAATGTAGCACGCGCTCTAAAAACTAAATAAATAAACCGGCTGTGTTCAAACAAACATTTCGTCCCAGTTCAAGCCCTGACAGAATTGAGTAGAATAAACTACACGTTTTTCATGTCTCATATGTTGAAATGTAACCAAAGACTCAGCATTCCAGTACAGAGGACGCGGCCTTGAGTGCAGACCAACATCCAGCCTGGTGTCTGAGGAGCGGCCGAGTTCTGCTATTGGCTGTAGGTGAGCGTTATTTATGCGCTGTATTTCTCGTCCTGCACAGAGGCTACTCACATGGGGCAGATTGTTTTGGCAGTACACACAATGCAAATGAGGCTGCACAGAGACTGGCCAACAGCCCGGGCCAGGGCTCAGTGTGTGTGTGTGGAGCCCTCTGAGGACACGTGAGTGAGAGGTACTGAAGCTCATCATCTTCATGCAGATCGTGCACTTTCCTTATCATCAGCAATGCAGGGATAACCTCTCTCTCTCTCTCTCTCTCTCTCTCTCTCTCTCTCTCTCTCTCTCTCTCTCTCTGCTCAGTATGTTCCCTCGACTCAACCTGCCTCTGATCCAACACTAGATCAAGACCAGCACAGCCAACTCGCCACACACACTAACAGCAAAAACACTGCTTAAAATCGAAAAGCATTTAATCCGAATACATACAACACCATGCAGAACAGGCGAGCTCAAACAAGCACAGGTGTGAGAGAGAAGCGAGCAGCGCTTACAAAGTGTGAATCACTTTCTTAATTAGCGAACAGGAGCTGTAAACACTGAGCGCCTTCAGACACACTCTCAGTTACACCTCAGCGCACTGTGGCTCAAATGTGCTCAGAAACATTTTGAATATTAACAATTTATTAGTAACTGTTAGTGTGTATGTGTCTTCTGCATGTCTTTAATTTACATTAACTTTAAATAAATAAATAAATAAATCAATAAGGGAGACAAAACACACAGATGACAATTATAAACCGAGTCACACATAGAAAGATCAGATCGACATGATTAGACTGACTGCGCAGTGTGAATTAATCGTAAGTAAATCAGCGCTGAAGATGCGCTCTCTCTCTCTCTCTCTCTCTCTCTCTCTTTCTCTCTTTAAAAGCAGGTAGTTTGTGGGAATGAACTGAGTCTGAATCCGCGAATTGAATTTGACTGTAATGCGGTCGAGCCGGGCTGTTTTTTTTAAACTTGGGTACGAGGAGATCTAGTGAGCATGAAATTTCAGAGTAACCCAATGCAGCAGGAACACAGACACCTGTTTCCGCTGGATTCCCTTCAATCCCGAGGAGGAGAGAGGCAGTAAAAATAAAGATTAAAACCCTTTTAGGCTGCACACATCTGTCGTCTTTCATTAGAGCCCCCTCTGTGCGGGGTCTCTAACAAAAAATACAAAAAATCAGATTTAGAACGTCCTGATGACGCCACGCTGTGATAATGTGAGGAGCCTCTTCAGGAGCGCCGTCAGAGTCCTACATCTTCATATCCCACTAGAGTAACATTAATGAAGGAATATTAGAATATTAGGATATTTAAATGATGTTAGATTTATAAAACTGTTGTTTTTATTTATTTATAATATATTTATAACGCTTTTAAATTCTGAAACATTCCATCTTAAAATATTGATATTATTTTGTAGCAGCATTAATAAATGGATTAATGAGGAACATTACAGACATGAGAAACATTTTAACAGATGAACACATAACCTAAAGAGAACTTCTTTTCCTGAGCGTAATTTAATTTTTACAGCACAATAGAAACACCACCGAAAATTAAAATTCAAGCTCATGAATAATTAAGAATTCCGATCAACATGCGCTGTAACACCGCAGCCCATACACTTAAATAAAAATGCGAATGTTTAATAAATTTGATCATGTAAATGAGACAGAGGAAGATGAATAATGACACGACAAAACTACATTTGTTCCGCCACTAATTTAGCGCCTAATATTTTCGTGCGGAGGAACTTCAGTTACACATTTCAAAGGGCGGTAAAAACGGGAGTGTGTGCGGAGTGTGTGAGCAGTTTCAGGCGCCCTGGGGAACAGATAAGATCTACTCCTCATTTTCTCTGTTCCTCGCCGTGATTCCTCCACAGCACTCGACGCTTTATTCTGCGATTCTGCTCATGGATAATAGCAGGTGATGGTTTCACTCTTTGCTCACTGCACACACCAGCGACCTCGTCTGAATCACCCACAATTAAGCTGACGCCCTGTGTGAGGGTGCAGGTCTCTTCTGCGCTTTGTTTGAAGACAGAGCAGCGAAAAACGCAGCTTCCAGAATTGAGGCGAACTTTCAGAGAGCATAGGTGAAGCTGCTCTTATCCGGCTCTGCTCTGAACACGACCCCCCTCAACATCGGATACACTCGCAACGCAAAACATTACATCCGTCTAAGAAGGTTTTAACATTTTAAAAATGTTTTTTTTTTAAAAAAGGCATATTTTAATTGCCACAGTGATTGGTGCGATAAAGGTATTAAACGGGCTGAATGTTATTATGTGTGTGGTAAAGTGTGCTGTGATGAGCTCTGAAAGGCCTGCAGTCACTCCTCACGCACAGCCCTGAAAACGCCGAGCCCGTGCTGTGACACAGCTCAGCGGAGAAGACATTCGTTAAAATAAACACATACGCAGTCCACAGTGACCGCCTCTTTTTAATTAAACGCTCCTGATTAAAATTCAATTGTAATAAAATGTAAAAAATAAACCACACTGTACACTGGGCTAATATACTTCAACTCGATTTACTTATAACGCTTATCATTTTCTTATAGCAGTGCTCATCTGTCTGTCTGTGTTTACTGAAGCAGTATATTAATCATGATACTGTTAAATCTCTGCTTTAATGAAGTGTAATTAATATCCACAGCAGTCTACTCACCTCTCTGAGAGCGCGAGCGCTAATCACCGCTCTGAAAAAATATCGCGCATTGTTTTTATTTTCAGCTTTTCCTGAGATCGATGGCCATGTTATTGTTTAAAAGCAGGCTAAACGTAGGACGTTGGTGGTGAAAAGGCTGGAGTTCAGTCTGCTGAGTGAAATCGGGATCCTACAGGAGGCGGACTGGTCATGGAGAGACTAATGAAGTGCTGACTGGAGCAGCAGCAGTTCAGCTCTACAGCTGAGATACACACAAACACACACACACACACACACACACACACACACACACACACACACACACACATGTGCATGTCCGCCTGCCTTCTTAAACACACAAGCTCAAACACACACGCACGAGGCCTAAACTCAGAAGCGACCTGAAACCTTGGACCAGGCCGAACTGGACAATGTAGAAGAGCATAAAGTGACTAGAGTGTGGGCGATGAAGATGTTTTGGCTTATTTACAACTCTGTAAAGAAGTGTCCTTCCATCTTACAGGATCTTAGACAATAACGGCCCTGTTATAGTTTTCTATGTGTTATAATTTTGAAACTAAACACGTGATTAATGGAGGTGAAGGATGGTGTAATAAAGCTCAGTGTGTCTGGAGTGAGTTCTTCAAAAACACATCGGACACTGCAGCGGTCAGCGCGATCTTACATTTAGAAATTGGACCTCTTTAATCGTAAAGAAGTATTCGTAAAAGTATTCATATTAAAGGCTTTTAGCTTGAATATAAGCTGTTATATGTGACCAGGACATTTCTACAGAACCACGTCTATTTCTATGAATTATGACTAAAACCTAATTTCTCTTCTCTCAGCATTAAAACTAAAATTAAAAATCACGTCGAGAAAGCATCCTCCCTTCATTCCCCAATCGGTGCAATTAATTCTCGCCTTTTAAACTAACATTAATCACTCAAAATGGATTTAAGTCATGGTTGCAGTGATATAAAAGCACGTGCATTAATATAAAAAAAACGTTATTACGTATTTTATGATCTAAAACGTCCGAGTAAATTACACAGTCGCTGTAATGTAACTGTCACAGTGTTGCAGTCACCGTATAGCTGCGTGCATGTGCCCCTCTGTTAGTGACTTTGTAAAACCGCGTTCAGAATTAGAGGGCCCAATACAGGCCTTTTGGGCATAATAACCATTTCTAAGATGATATTTCCATTCTCACTCAGACTAACGTGCTCTTAAACATCGACCCCCTCGCGACTCTATGTGTTCCTGTTCGGGCAGCGCGGGTGCAAATGCAGCTGAGCCGCGGTGGACTAACCGGGGTCTATGTCCAGACAGTGCGCAGGGTCCTCGGCGTCTCCCAGCTGTCCGTTGGCGGTGAGGCTGTCCATGGAGAGCTGCTGCAGCTCCTTGTCCTCCCAGCCCCGCAGCTTGCGCTTCTTGTTGGAGCCGATCAGGGCCTCCACGGAGAACGCGTGCGCTCTGGAGCTCAGCGCTGCGGCCGAGCGCCTGCGGTCACTCATCTCTCCCTCCACTCACACACTCGCGCACACACACACACACCCACTCTCTCTCACACACACACACACACACACACAAGACGCCTGCAAACTCTGAGCGCGAGCCAAACTCTCCGGCGAGCAAAGTAATCCAAAACGAGAGTCTACTTCGTACTTTGTACGCGCCTGAAAGCGTCAGAGGCCATTCCTGAAGAGCAGCGGCGCCTCCACACCTCTCCCTCTCTTTCCTCTCCTCAGTCTGGGCTTTCTCTCCTCTAGCTCGCCGCTCTGTCGCTCCGCTCGCTCTCCGTTTCTCTCTCTGTCTCCCCTTCCTCCCTCTGATTGATACTCACTGCTGCTGAAGTTTTTTTTCTTCCTCCAAGCGTTGAGCCTCTAACTCCTTGCCAGCCCCTCCGCAGCCAATCAGAAGCGCCGAGGGGGAAAGAACCAAAACACGGGGGCCAATAGGAAAAGAGGACGAGAAACTTTCATCTGCGGCTGCAGAGTCGCCCCACAGCCTGGACACGGGGAGAGCACTGTTAGAGCTCATTTAGCTTAGAAAAAGGAGTTTCAGAAAAACCAGGGACTTTACAGCAGCGACCTTAGTGCTGAATCTGATCATTTTCAAAAAAAAGGGGGGATTTCTCCGGGTTTGTGTAGTTGCCTCGTGCTAACATTCATGCTGAGCTGGATTTTCTCGCTGTCAGTGCAACATTTCTCACCTCAAATACAACGAATCGATCATTATCAACAGCTAACACGTAATAATAATTAATTAATTAATTTGCATTAATGCACCTACAGACCTCAGATTTCAAGCAGACCCTTTCTACAGCCCGTATTTAGGATCATGAGCTCCGTGGTTTTGGAGTTTGAACACAGTTGACCGTTCAGGTAAACCGTCCTCTGATTCCTACATGAACTCATTGATATTTGCACTTTAACTGCACATTAACCGACTGAAACGTGGCGTTACATGTGTTTCACATTAGTACAGAAGGATGTTTCATTCAGAAGAAAAGTGTAACGGAACGATGCGCTCAGTATTTCTGTAGATAAAAGACACACGGTTAAAATTTCGATCATGAATTAAATTGAATTTAGTGCTGATTGGTTAGTGTATTATTAACCGTGCGTTACCTTTTGTGCGGTTTCCTGTAAATAAAATATTACGTAGTGGCAAAAAGCGAGGAAAAACTACAAACAAGCAAATAAACACACACACACACACACACACACACACACACACACACACACACACACACACACATATATATATATATATATATATCAGTCGAGGTACGTTTTAATCATATTAATGACGTGTAACGGATGTGAAGGGCGGCAGGTCACTGTCTGATGATAAAACTGGACAGAAGAAACTAAGACCGCCCTCAGAGGAAAATTATTCTTATTTTAATGAAAATACATCAGGAGTAAAAACTATCTGGCCCAGAAGCGCCGCCAGTGCTTCCCCACGCAGCTGTACGCTGTACATCCGACATTTACCAGCTCCAGAAACAGAAACTGAAGTTTGCTGGACTCAAACTGATGTGAAGTTAAACGCTAAAGTGCGAACACAGGAGGCAGAGCAGGTGAAGAACTAACAGAGCAGAATGAAACAAAACACAGTGAAGAAGTCGTGAAGATTACTGCTTCATATAAATAAACATAAACAACATTATTACGCATTATTAGATGGAAACTAGGCCCACAGGTCCCAGTTCTCTGTGGAGTAAATGAGTACAAGTAAATTCTTATTGTTCAACTCTAAACTATCCGGATTGTATTTCGTTACAGAAACGCGGCTGATGATTAACAAACAAAATATAAACAATAATTAATTTGGTACTATTAATTAATTATATCCACGTGCTTCGTTGAAATAATGTAAAACAAGTAATGCCTTATTAATGAATGGCTTCTGCGACGGTCAGCGGCCTGTGAGGAGCGTCTGTAAGTCTGTTTTCCGTTCCGCTGCAGCCCACAGTCCAACACCCCACTACTGCATTTAAACAAACACGGACAGACAAATCCTGCAGCAGCTAGAATCGCTTTTGAAACGTAAAAAAATCGTTTATTTAATCGTATTATCGTTAATTTAAAAATAATTTTAAAATTAAACCCAAGCCTAAAAAAGTAAAAGCATACGCATTCATATTTTACATTAAAATTATGTACAAAATTGCATTAAGCGATCATATTTTACATTACAAGTACGCACAAAATTTCTACGCAAATTCTCATTCTATAGCATGTTATCTACAATTAAAAACTACAACCATACATACAAAACCAACCTGGATCACCTGGCAAGCAGTTTTAGACAGGCTCCTCCAACAACCAGGCAAACCCAACTTTGCAGAAAAACTACAGTTCTTACATCACTTCCGGTGTGCTACTTTTTTAACTGTCCCAAGAACAACATTCTACATTTTCAGAAAATGTAGAGGTTCCCTATTTAAATACTAATGCAAATTGAGAAATGAGAAAAAAACAAAGTGGTTTCTCACAGTAACCACTGTGCCTGAAAGGGTTAAGCGATCATATTTTACATTACAAGTGCGCACAAAATTTCTACGCGCGTTCATGGCTTATATTAAAATTACACACAAAATCAGACTATACTCTAAAAACAGAGGTGTTAAAAAAAACAACACATTCTGTCTCTAACCAGACACATCAGTGTGTTCAGTTAGAGACAAAACATTTTTGGGCTACTTTTTTTTTTAAATGTTTCTGTGCCGACTTATGCATAATACTTTTTGTGTTACTTTCAACACAGAATGTGTTGAATCAAAAAACAATATGATACAAAAAGTGTTAAAATTGCTAACACAAGTAAGAGTGTTGTTATTTAATTGATCACTTTTAGAGTGTAATTTGTACATTTATATTGCACATTAAAATGTACATTAAAAAAAAAATAGGCAAAAACCCAAAGCAGTTTGGCGTCTCTTGTTAAAGCACAAAGGCAAAAAGAAATAAAGACGAAATTCAAAATTTCTCCCCCAAATCATTGTTTAGTGTGTTTTGTTCCGGGTGTCAAATGTAAAGCAGGTCTGCTGTAGTACATCAGACTACGCAGTGCGAAGAGAATAGCTGAAGTAAATCTGTGTTTGTCTGCAGGCGGGACAGTGCAGGAGCGGCACTGAGAAAAAGAGAGAGAGAGAGCTGGACTCGGCCTTCTGCAGAACAGCAGTCACTACGAGAAACTATGAATAAGGACGGGACAGGGTTTTAGCAGTGCCCCCTGCAGTGGCCACAAGTTAGAGCCTCTACATCCCCCCGAGCTGCCTCAGAGCCTTCAGACTGCGCACACTCGCTCACACTGCCCAGGCACTTTCCTGCGGCTTTACAGAGCCGAGCTGAAGTCCTCAGGCTGGAGAGGCGCGCGGGGTTCACACTCTCCCACCCCTCACATCTCTCTGAGCGCATCTCTTACTGCAGCTCCGCACGAAGAAATGAAATCAAATGAAGATGCGCCACAATACAGACAATGCAGAGACTTTGTCCTCCTTCGCTGAATGATAAAGAAAAAACTCACATTTTTACAAAATGAGTCACAGTGAGCTGGTCAGACAGGAAAGGTGTAGAAAATATATACCATCAGGAAAAAAGATACTGTGCAGGTAGATTGTTGTGTACCCTTGAAGTCATCATTAAGGTCCAATTGTGTAAGGTCCAAATGAGCATTAAAGGTCCACGACATCCACTTCCTCAAGAAAAAAAGGGGCATAGATGGATTCAATGTAACTTAATTGCTATATATATATATATATATATATATATATATATATATATATATATATATATACTGTAATATGGTACAATTACATAATATAATTATATAATATACAGTATATTCTGAGAGTGCAGATCTGCAGGTTAGTGGTTTCTAATATGAATATTTGGCACAACGAGTACAACACCGTGATGAACGAGACTCGAAAATCCTAAACAGCTTAGAAATAAGCCCACATTACTTCTACCGCCGTTGTAGAAAGTCTAATGAAATGTGGACCATTTTTCGAACTGTAAATCACTTTAAAATGGGAAAAGGTGGGAGCGACCACAGACTCCACCGAGACACTGCAGCAAGCCCTGAACACCCATCCACCAACTTCTATTAGTGTATGCAGAGTCTCACTATGCATCACTGTAAGAAAGTGTTCGTCGGGCACATTTAATGAACCGGGCAGCATCATCTCAGAGCCAGCAGCGAGATGTCTACCACCTCAGTGCGTCACACTACATCATTATCCAGAGGAAAAACAGACAGACAAATGAATCATTCTGCCAGACTGAAAGGTAATTGCTCAGGAAGATTTACATGCCACTTGCCTAATCCTCGCATGTTTCCTGGAACCTACAAACTATCTGACTTTCCTGGCCGAGGCACTTTTTTATTTATGGAAACTATTTCAATTAGCAGTTCGAGAAATTATGGAACACATGGGCGAGCTGTAATAATGTTTACTTAAATAACTTTTAAATATATGCTTCCTTTAGTCCGTTTCAACACAAAGTGTGCACAGTGCTGATTTAGGATGGAGTTAACCAGCTAGATGTGGCTCTTCACACCCCGCAGAAAATAAAGAACCGTTGGATGAGGGTTTCATTCCTCACTAATAGCCGTGTATATTGTTAAATACATTACAACTGCTGAAATTTAACGCAGATTAATTGCTTCTGAGATTTACTACCGGCTTGGAGACCTTTTTTATATTGCAAGGAGGACTGTTTTCCAGTTGCTGGGATTGATTTATGTATGTATGTATGTATGTATGTTCAAACAACTGAACAGACAGCGTCTGCTGAAGATCATACCAACCTTTTATGGTTCCACTGAGTCCAACAGGTTTATCAGATCATCCAGAGTTGGCCACCTCAGCCCTGTAAAGTTCCTGGACACTCCGTGAGTGACTTGGTTTATTACCAAATTCAGAGGACCGATAGCTGAGCTCATAATGCAATCTAAGATAGATGTCAGTTCAGCTACAGAGCCTAATCGTTTTAGTTATCGTATTGCTGTGCTGCCTAAAACGTCAACCTGTCACTAACAGAGCACTTTTCCCAACCAACTGTCCCCACATTGAGCATAATCTGAGCCAGTTAAACCCTTTCTTTGTGTAAAGATGGCTTACTTGGAAAAAGAGGCAGGTTACACAATTACACATGAAAAATATGTGGATTCCGAGACATTTTGTGTCCGAGAAAGGAATACATTTATAACTGAACAGACAACCAACATCTAGGACAAACTCCTGGTTGCACTGTAAACCTCAACTACTTTATCAAACAAAATAAAAACATACAAACTTATTACCTCGAAAAATCAAGGTACTTAACAGGATCAAGTTTAATTAACTTTAGACAGGAGTTATAATTACTTTCTAATTTTCAGTGATCCACACTTCTGCAGCAAATAAGGTTAACTCCAACTGCCGAATCATTTTAAACGGTGTTCATTAAGCTGTGAGGGCTCTAGTTTAAGTTCTGCTTATTATTAAATTAATTAGGTTGACCTGAATCACATTCTTCCTTGTGTAACGTTTAGGCATCAATTAAAACAACTCTGTTATATTAAATTGACTGATTTTTACAGTAACGAGTAAATGGCTTAGATAAGACTAGAATCACCCATTTCTGAGGACTCTGGAGAGCTTAAGGCATTATTTTTATTGTTTCCAGGCTGAACAAGTCAAACACAAAATCATGGAGAGAATAACAAAAACAAGAAAAATGCAAAACTCAAGAGTATGACACAAAATAACATTTTGTAATGAGAATTTTTTTTAAATTAGAAAAATAAGATTTATTAACTGATCTTAACTAGATTCATCTAAGTATATCAAGTATTATACTAGAAATCATGAGTCAGTTGATTTGTATTAGCAATTTCAGTAAATAAGATAAACCAAAAAGCATTTAAGTTAGTGCAGTTGTTTAACCAGTGTAGGTAGTGACCCTAGTTGGGGTCATTACTTTACTTCTATGTTACTCTCTAAAACCCCTACAGACCTGTACCAACTGGAACATTTGAGAGAAAATCCGATAGTCATTTCAGTACTATGTTAAATGTTTAATGTGTAAACATTTCAAACGTCCGTCACTGTCCCTGTGCTGAGTAAAATGATGAATGGCTAATGCTAACAATTTGAAAACCTAAAAACTAGCCCTTCAAAAACAACTATATCAGAATAAAATAATGTAAAGCTTAAGGGCTGTTACTGAATGTCTGGTCTGTTGAGGTTATGTCAGGACTCTCTCCTCTGCAGCTGAGAATCTTCATTCATCAGTTTCACATGAACATGATTAGATATTTCGATAGCTTGTAGAGTTTACGGCGCACAGACAGGGCTATATATATGTTAAGTAAATGCATGTTTTTAAATACATTATGCATAATTAATATGGCTCTCTGAGAGACATGAGTAACGCAAATATGTAATTCTTAGTTCAGGACCTGTAATGCGACTACAAGACTGTAATGCCTTACACTGCGCTTCTTCTGTTACAGAAAAAAGTAATCACATTGCTGTAATGCATTACTTTGTGCCTTGATAGAGAGACTTTAGTGATAGGGTGTACAAAACAAACAATGTAATTAAAGTTTAAATATATTTTTGCCAAATATCAATATGAAATCATGACAATAGCCATATCCTGTTTAGTCTACACTTCTTTTTTAGTAAAGGGCTTTTCAGTCAGCAAAAAACAAAAGCCTTAAGAGGAATAGAGAGGTTTGAACCCTCAAACTGGAATGTACAGTTTGATGTTTATTTGATCTGCTAGGAAGAAAGTGGGAGAAAATGTGCCGATGAACCACAAAGCATGAAAATATTACCCTTACCACAGTTAAAATGGTTTCATTCCGTCCACATGTGTACAAAGTAAGCTGTACGATCAGAGCTTAAGAAGAGCTCCGGATACTTACTGAACCGTCATCTTCATCACTCTGGTGACAATTACATAATTGTATGCCTGTGACCAGACACAAGTATGTTATTAAGGACTGCACATTCAAAAGGAGAACCCTTATGGCTATAAAAATAAATAGAAGAAAACTGTGAAATTACTACAAGTGAGCATTCAAGTATTAAAAAACAGTGCTTTCCAGTCTCACTATGGTGTATGTCCACCTGTAACACAGATCGTTTACATGGAATGCTTCCCTCTTGACCCTTAGGAGAAGCCCACTAGTTTCCTGACCTCCTTCATTACTGGAGCAGCCAGGCTGCGGGCCTTTGCTCCTCCCTCAGCCAGCACGCTCTCCAAGTGGCCCCTGTCAGCTCTTAGTCTCTGGATCTCCAACCTGATGGGCTCCAGTCTCTGCACCACAGCCTCTGCCACCAGGTTCTTATATTTTCCAGTGTCCAGTCCTCTGGCTAGGCTGACCACGTGCTCCACAGTCTGACCAGACACAGCAGCATGCAAGGAGACCAGATTTGCCACCCCTGGCCTTCCCTCGGGGTCAAAGGTCACCTCAGAGGTGAAGTCCGTCACTGCTCGGCGGATCTTAAAGACTATGTCTTCAGGGGTGTCAGTGAGGAAGATGGTGGCTAAATTCTGAGGATCTGACTTCGACATTTTAGAGGTGGGGTCTCTCAAAGATTTAACCTTTCGTGTGGAACCTAAAAGGGAAAGAGCTAAAGTTGAAATCAGATCCATGCTATTTATAGAGCTGTCCCTGACTAAGGATTTAGGCATCATCTTCAACTAAACATCAAAATCATGTCCAATCATTTGTTTTACATTTTCTATCTGTGCTTAAATAACTACACTTTCAGTTGTAATTCACCTATAACAATAAATACAGTACTGTGTAAACCTCAGAGACCACCCTTCCTTTATTTCACTTTCAGTGTCAATATATCCACCTGGATAATAAGAGGTTTTAAAACAATAACAGCTGACATATAACACAATTTGTCAAAATAAATTTAAATAAAGGTGGAATTAATAATAATGTAGCATTAATATATCTTGCATGGGCAAAGTCCACTTCCAACAAGATTTATCATGAAAAACAACAAAAAAAAATCATGTGGTATTATGCTTTAGAATGAAACTCTTTATATATTTAACAACAAATTGCTCAAAGGTTTCAATAACTAAAAGATGCCTTTAAAGATACCATTATTTAAAGCTTCCAATTATATTTTAGGAGACTTCTTTTTCAATTTCCAAAGAAATCTGCAGAGATGCTTTTCAGTCAAAGTTTAATTTTAGAAGTTGGATGCATTTTCTGCAGTCAATAATGTTGAGGTCTGGACTCTGGGCTGGCCAGGCCATTACCCTGAAAATGAAGGGTGGTCTCTAACTTTTGTACAATACTGAAAATAAGTAAATGATATACATAAATACTACTACTACTACTACTACTACTACTACTAGTAATAATAATAATAAATAAATAAATAAATAAATAACTGACAATCTTAGAGGGGACAGCCCCAGCCATTAGTACTTAATAGTCTGTGAACCAACTAGTATTGCATTACATGCTCAATATACACTCAAAAGTGCTCTGCATTCATAAGAATCTGTTCTGAGTTACAATTTAATCAAACACTGCTACACAGTTACACACATCAACGGATGAGTCATTCCTGAGCTGAATGTTACACAGGGAAAGGCAGTCAAGGGTTCATCTGGACATAAAATGGGTTTCTGGGGGGAAACAAATGTTTTGTGTTATCCACTTCCTCATCCTAGCTGCATCAAAACACAGATGAGCAATGATTTGCGGTACTTTGATACAGTTTCGGATAGGCTGGCTAATAATTAGCATCACTTGGCTCTGGCACTGATATATATGTCCTGTTTAGTGGCAGCTTGAGATTTTATATCAAGTAAATAGAAGGAAGTGAATTATTCCAGAGTGTGCCCCTATCACTCCTGCCCCCCAAACCCAATCCTCCATCTCTGTCCTCATCTCATCCTCTCTGATGTCAGCTTGAGAAACCCCCCAATCTATTATCACTCTATTATTCAGACAGAAGAGGAATGGAACACTCCTTTAATCAAAGCACCATTGCATGCATGATTGGTTTCATATTGTGCTCTTATGATGGCGATAATTACAGAGCATGAAAGGGTGTAGCTCAAAGAAGAGCCTGACGTACTGCTGGTCCAACATGGCGGCCATGTGCGTATATGTGACTGTGTGAGTGGATACGCTGTCCCGAGAGCAACTGAGCATGTGTGAGTGTACAGATGAAACACACGCTGTTCGAGTCACTGAGGGACACAGTGAGCAGCACTTCATAGTGCTGACTGTGCATGTACATGTTCACAGAGTGAGACAGAGCGATTTGTCTTAACTGTCTCCTGTCCTGCCTTTAAGCAGCGGCGGCCTATAGACGTGCCCTTATGAGAAAAACAGGTTAGAGTAAAGTAAATAAGTATGTTATTATTCTCTGGCTGAAAACTGGCAAATGTCCACTTACTGAGCAAGGCACGAGGCTCGGGAAAGAACTCTCCGTATTTGTTGTTGAAGATTCGGGCTAAGTCCTGGGCCAGCTCCAAATGCTGGATCTGATCCTCCCCTACTGGCACATGTGTGGACCTACACATAAGAATAATAGTGAACATGAGGTGAGAATCCTCAGCACTATTTGCACAGTAAGCAGTGAACGGGACCAGCCTTACTTGTAGAGCAATATGTCTGCGGCCTGTAACACTGGGTAGGTATACAGGCCCACACTTCCTTCACTCTTCTGCTTACTCTTCATCTAAACGGAGAGATTAGCAGAGAAGGAGATTTAATAGCAATCCATGTACAGTCATATGCATAAGTTTAAACACTGGTCAAGTGGCTTGTTTTGTTGATTTTCGTAGTGAAGTTAGAATGTTGTCTACTACGAACAAAAACAGAAATTGTGCGCTAAGGTTCGCAGTAAAGTTCATTCTTATTTATTTGCTGAGTTTAACATACTTATAAAAATAAAAGAATTATAAAATGGGTCACATATTTCCCAATATGTTAAATTCTGCAAATTAAACTGTGCATCAAAATCTGCAGAAGTTTGTTCCCTGTACAGGATATTTACTTATTTTCACTTAGCAAATCAATATATTAAGTAATTTAACTGGGGATGTTCAAATATTTGCATATGACTGTAGATACAAAGTACTATTCAAAAAACTGTAGTCATTTGTCATAGTGATAATTGCTGTTATTTTATTCAATAACATGATATACAGTGTTGAATTAAACACTCTAAGCTACACATCAGAAGGAATTTGGAAACAACAAGAACAAACACTATTAGGTAATTAATAACACTGTAATTGTCTATTTGTAGTAATTTCTTGACAAATTATCTGTCTGATCACCACTTTTCAATTCCAACACACTTTGGCTGTTCATTTTATTATTACTTCATTCTTGATGATATACAGTTTTCTCAGTCATTTTACAATCACCTGCAGCTCTGTTAATCATTCTGGACACATCTAAATTTTCTTTATCTTTTACAGCTTCCTAAAGATGAATTGAGGTACATTTCAGAATCATTTTTAAATGTACCTGCAGCAATTAAAAAAAAGTTTTATACTGATGAAAGCTGTGATTCCAAACAATTTGAATGGTGATTCAAGACTTAACATAAATACATAAAATAGGAGCTGAAGTATAAAAATACATGTTAAATAAAAATTATAAACAACTAATTCATACCCATAGAGGGGATTTCACAGTTTAGCTGGGTAATCTGAGCCAAAGCAAGGGTTGTCTTTCTTTTTTCTCTTGTTGGACAGGCCTGACTTTTGGCTCAGAGAAACCCTGCTTTATGAAATATCCCCCTTGGTAAGAAGTGTCTATTTACTTCTCTGTACAACAATCTCCCTCAAAGTGTTTCAGGGCGAGTGTGCATGAAGGAATCTTCTCGCGTTAACACGTGCAGGCCGCATTCAAAGGCCATTTTCCGCCACGTTTCACATGCACTCAGCTGTTGAGTAAACAGCGAGGTGTTTTCCCTGCAGCGACGGGAGGCTGCTGGCTGAGCGCTTCTCCACACACGCGCACTATAAAACTGTACTACACTTTGGGTAAATCACAGTCATTATCACGCCCTCTCCACCGCTGCCAGGTGCGGACACATTTGTGATCAACAATACAGCAGCGCTGACGAGAACAAATACTGAGAGAGGCCCAAACATCAGAGCTCACACTGGACTGTCCTTGAGCCTTTTCATGTTTCTCATTATACAACAAAGCGAAGGCTAGCACAATGAGTCATTTGTTGGCACTTTTTTCACCAAAATAATAGAGTCATGTTTGTTAAAGGAAACTTTGCTGCAAGTAGCTCCTTTTGTTATTGTTTTGGTTTTGATGTAATACATGGTCCTTCCCCCATTACCTTCCACTGAGGTAGATGTCGTAGGCGAGGCATGCTGGTGAGGCAGCCGAGGATCCAGGACAGCTCTGCATGCTCTGAAACCTGCACACAGAGGAACATACTCAATTAGATCTCATCATAAATCCCGACCAACATGCTTTAAATGTAGTTTCATTTAGGGGTTCGTCGATCATGAATTTTCTTCAGGGCTGATTTATGATGTAGCCAGCTTGACTGATGGGTGACTTTTTTTTTCCTTGTCAATTTTTATTAGCATTTTTGTTTTTGCCATGGGTCGGCTAAATAAACATGTTGTTTAATGGGCCAAACTGGCATGTAAAATTCTTAAATAAAAAAAAGTTGGCTATTTAAATATCACACAATAATCGCATGAAGTGCTGTATCTAAAATAAGAGGAATTGGCTCTTTAACACAATGAGTCATACATAATTATGTTGTGATATTTTGGTACAAGTGTAACAGCAGCAGCAAATACAGCATGGGTGCACTTACCTGCCTCAACATATTAATTGCAACATAGATCGGTTAAAATAAAAATAACAAATTATCCGATTGTTAATTACAAGTTTGGGGCCAGTTCCGAACTTGCATCCCTAGATGCCCTCGAAGACTCTACTCAACATAATAAAGACTAAACAAGTTTATTTTGAGCTTTACAACGTCAGCAGTGTAAATATTTGTGACTGTACTACCTTATAATAATGCCACACCCCAGATGTTATAGTCACTTCTTGTGATGTCATTACTCAGCATCACTGAAACGTTCCAAGTGCTTAAACTACATTTCGGCCAAAACATTTTCAATATGTGCTTTTAACAATAGTTTGGCAAAGAAAACTACTGCCAAATAATTTGATTTGAAACAAACGGTCAAATCACTATTTAGGCAAAATCCATTCGTACTACTACAGAAGAGACTTTGAAGCTGAGTGTGGTAAAGAGCTGTCTTATGCTTGTGTAAAAGTCTGACAGGCAGCAGTGCTAGCAGGCTTGTAGTATGCAGCAGTAAGGCAGCCCCTCTATTCTCCCCAACTCCTCTGTGTAGCTGTGAGAAGAACAGCAATCTCCCCCCACACACACCCTCACACACATACCTCCTGACAGGTGCCCACAGCGGCACAGTGAGGGTCTCTCTCTCCATGCTGTCTAATAACATTAATGTCATTAAATATGACCATCATCTGGGCTTCAGCATGGCCAATTAAAGATGGTCATCCTCTGGGGCTTCAGCATGGCCAATTAAAGAGGCCTTTGCCTCACGCTACAACCATGCGAGAGAGGGAGAGAGCACTCGCGCAGGGCTCCGGGCACTCTGTTCTCTGCCAAAAACTCCAGTTGCGGAGAGGAGCACAAAAGGCGAAAAATCCTTCTGCTTCAGAGAATTAAAGTTTATGGGTGCTGGCGACGGGGCTGCCATCTCCCTCACTCACAAAAGGATTCTGAAGAGCCTGACGTAAACCGAAGCAGGAATGAACATAAAAAGCAATTTTTCGCCTTAGCGTGAAGAGAGATATTAGTTACACCCAGCTAAATCTATGTGGGAAGGTACGATAGTGGATGAAATAATGATGGGGGTGATAACTAAGAGAAAGAGTAAGGAATATGACTAGAGGTTAGGGATGAACTGAAATTTCAGTCACCGAAAAAGAAAAAGGCAGAAAATTTTGACCAAAAAGATTGATTAGGCCTACAATGAAGTCTCAAAATCTCAATAAAATCTCAAATAGACTTTATCAATAATTTTAAAGGTAATGAAAACTGGAAATGGTGATTAGATTTTCCTGTGCTGTCAGTGCAGATCTGTTCAAACAGTTAGAGCAGCAGCAGATCAACAGTAAAAATATAATCCATGTTAAAGTATTTAAAGTTTACTCTGAGAGACAAGTGATTTGTACTCACCATTCATACTGTGTATCAAGAGGGGATACAACACACAAGAACTTCTCTATTGCACTTTTGATATCTTTTAAAAATGCACTCGATACGCAGAATAAAGCAAAACAAAAGCAGAAAGGGAAGTCCCTGTGAGCACACCAGCGCCGTCTGTAGCCACAGTATTTGACATAACAAAACGACCATTCTCTGTTGTTGAAGACGCTGGATTTTGTGGCTGTACCCTAAATATTGTCATTTTAGTATGTCATTAGTTTATTTTATGCAAACTGTTTTTTACTAATTGTGAGCTTTTTCTAGCTATCAGTTTTTGGCCCAATGTGACCTGAATTTCTGTTTCGGTTTTCTTCAATGATTTTCATTATAGTGCATCACCACTAGAGGTGTACTTAAAACATGAAAATGCAAAGGTTAAAATGTTCATTCTCATCATATGGACTGAGGAGTTACATAACCTAAAGTAAAGAAGGAGTTACTAAAGATACAGCAAAATATAAATACAGAATATTCTTCAGCCGTATCAACTATTCAATAGAGTTGAGAAGCTGGCGTTATATTTGCTTAGATTTACGCAGTGGTTTCTATCATGTGAAACCACCAGAAATATTCACATAAATCTCTCTCTCTGGTGTGTGGATATTATTCCGGTAAAAGGGGTGTAACCTCAACATATCCCCAATACACACTCACACACATACACAAACATGAAGCCCCTCACTTAAGATCCGACTGATTTCAGCTTGTCACCATTTTTTCAATGAAGTCAAGTGTTTTCTTTGGGCAGCAGTTTTATTTTTACATGTGGAACAGTCTTGAGCTCGTGTGTTCAATGGGAGGTCTTCAGCCCTGCCAAGATATGTGGCATGAAGTTAAACTGGAATAAAAACAGAGGTTTGTGAGTGTGTGTGCATTAGTGCTCCAAGCAGACAGCACAAAAGCCCTACTCACCTACTACTCACTTATATTATCTTCCTCCATCTCAGTTTCTACTACAGTGCAAAAGTCAGAGACCACCCTTTATTTATTTAATTTTCAGTCAAAACAGCTACTAAGTACAAGTTTCTCATTTTTCAGTGTCATGGAAAAGAAAAGAAGCAGAAAATGTATTTAACAGAAAATTACACAGAAACCACAACTAAATATATTTTCTAATTTTTCGGTACGTCACGTGTCAATCATTTGACTTTTATAACAGCTTTAATTATAACTTTCTTTCAGTTTTGCAAGGATATTTTTCCACACCTCCAATGTTCAGTCTTAGAAGTTAGTTGCATTTCCTGCTTCTCACAATCCAAGTAAACCCAAACACATTCAGTGATGTTGAGGTCTGGGCTCTGGGGTGGCCAGTCCATTGTTCTGAGAAGACCAGCAACTTCTTTGTTTGATTTGCAAATTTTCTTATTTTTGTGTATTTCCTTTTCCCATTAATGGCTTCCTTTCAGAAACATAGTGTTGTCTTCTCACAGTGGTAGGATGGGCACAAACACCTGTAGATTTTGAAGCAAGATCTGAAGCAAGAGTGGAGCTTGACTGTCTCCTCTCTCTCAAAGATGAAAGCTTTAAGTGCTGTTTATCTGATGGTGACAGTTTTTGAGTCTACCAGGTCTTACATTGTTCCATGGATGCCCAGTTTTGGAAACTGGACTATCTTAATTACTAAAAAATGAAGGGTGGTCTCTGACTGTTGCACAGTATTGTATCATAAAGAGATACAAAAATACACCAAGTAAGAGAACCTTTTTAAGAACCTTTAGAACTCTGCAGTGAGCTGGTGAGTTACTGCATACAGTCTAAATCTATTATTATCCATCTCTTCGCTTCATGTGGCTTTCTTTTGAAGATGGAAATGAATCTGAGTGTTTTCACTGACCAGAGAATTTGTAGAGCTCACAGTGGAGATAGAGATCAGCTCAGTAAAATAAGCATTTGAAGCAAACCTCGATTAAATAAACATTTAGCGATGGCAACGATTCCAGCTGACTCTTGATTGTTCAGCATGATAAATCAACCTCAGGCCATTTTAGACAGACACTTAAAAGCTGTCTGTCCATTCCTTGCTGACTCAAATAAATTTAATAAGGTAAAAATTCTTCAGGTCTGATGTCTCTGCCATTTTTGTTCTACTCCTGTACATTCTGCAGTGAGTTTTGTGTTCATTTATTAATGTTAAAACATCCTATAATCTCTGTGGAATGCATTTAGACATAGCCATACTGCATGTTAACTGTCTGACTGCACCTTGCCTTCTTTTAAAGTTTATAATTACTGAGTAATCTTTCAGCCTGAATAATGACTGGACAGACTTATTTTCCAAACTATGACTTTGACCCTGACCCTGAAAAGTGCTGATGAGTGGTTAATGATGGCATTAATCTCAAGGAAGTACTGTCACAAATACTGTCACAATTTTTTACATGATTTTGTTCACCTTAAAATAAATCTGGTTTGCCTTTATATGTTCATATGTTTAATATATCGTTGTAAACCAACTCATTTGTATATGCTGTATTTCAGTAGGTATCTTAGTATAATGTAAGTGAAAGGTAATGAGTGTGGATCAACACTGGTGTGACTGACCACAGATTGCTGGAACAGGACGGAGCGTGTGGGGTCGATGCCGCAGGCCAACAGACTGGCTGCCATGTCCAGGATGTTATCGCGGAGCAGCTGAGGGTCCTGAGGCTGGGTGATGGAGTGCAGGTCCACGATGCTGTACAGAACAGAGCTGTACTCATTCTGCATGGACACCCAGCTCTCCAGAGCACCCAGATAGTTCCCCAGGTGAGGCACCCCCGTGGGCTGTATGCCAGAGAACACTCGTGACCCTAAGGGGTCCTACAGAGAGACAGAGAGAGAGAGAGAGAGAGGGAGAGAGAGTTGGTTAAACCTTCAATCAACACCACATTTATGTTTGTAGTTCATGAAAAGTAGGAGTGTCACAATTACTTCATTAAACTCGATTACTCAAAAAATACTGATTACAATTTGCTAAATCTTGATAAACTGACAACGATTTATTAGGCAATTTGCATGATAACAATGCATATTTTAAATTCTCCTACATACAGACTTGTTTCGCAAGTTAAAAAAAAAAAAAACGACACAGGACATCAGAATACAAAAATGTAGAACTGCAGACTCAAACTCTTTGATACTGAACATAAATCTAATACAATAAGCAACACAATAACTCTAGACCTCCAGAGTTGATGGATATCAACCATACATATACTATAAAGCATAAGGGACTGAGAATACTCCTAGAGGACCGAGATAAGGGAGATAAAAATGACAGAAGAGCTGAAAGCGCAGGAAGATAATAAGAGACAGAGAGAGGGAAAGTGAGTGAGGCACCTGCAGTTACTCTAGCTAATAGTGAGGAGGCAGGAGAGGGAAGAGGAGGTCTGCACAAAGTTTTATGGCTGTTATCAAAACGATAAATCTGAAGCATGTCTCACACTTCAGAGTGTCCCGCAGGGTGAGGGAGCACTAGAGCGGAATCACTCCCCGGCCAATGAAAACACTCCACACTCCACCACCAGCCAATGAGAACGTTTTAAGAGCTACACAGTGGAGGGCTAACAGTCACAGTAGCAGTCCTGCCCAAAGCAATGAAAGAGAGAAATCGGCAGCACAAACATCGTAAACCCATCACGCATATCAGAGAATTAGGAGAAGTAAAACAAAAGCCTTATTTTAAAAGCCATGGACTGGGAAAGGAGTTCCCTCTTTTCTCCTATTTCAGAGAACGAGAGAAACCGCTCCTCACTCATGGATCCCTGGGCAAATATTGTGTTACCAGTGAGGCTGGCTGCAGTGAGCGCTGGCAGCAGTTACTGAGAGAGTGCCAGGCCGTGCAGCAGCTCAAACATAGCCGTCTGTGGCACCCAGCCCATACTTCAGCACAGAGAGGTGAGGGGTGCACAGGGACAACGAGAGGGCACACAGGCAACTGGAGATCTAGGCCTAATTGAAGACTGAAGTGCATTCAGGACTAATTTTATATTGTTATTATATATATATATATATATATATATATATACATATATATATATACATATATACATATATATATATATATATATATATATATATATATATATATATATATATATATAAATAAAATTCTTCATGACATAGATTTTACAATATGTTGAAAACATTCCTTTGAGATTCTGGTCCATACTGACATGACTGCATCATGCGAAATAGGCTGTGGCATTCAAGTGATGATTGATTGGCATTAAAGCGCCCAAACTGAACGTTCTGAGATGCTTTTGTGCTCACCACAGTTGTACAGAGTGGTTATCTGAATTACCATAGCCTTTCTGTCAGCTCAAACCAGCCACTGACCTCTCTCATCAACAAAAAAATTCTGTCCACAGAAATACCGCTCACCTTTTCACGATTTCTTTATTGCACCATTCTAAGTAAACTCTAGCGACTGTTGCGCTTGAAAATCCCAGATCAGCAGTTATAGAAATAATCAGAGTAGTACATCTGGTACCACCAATCATGCCACCATCAAAATTACAGAGATCACATTTTTCCGCGTTCTGCTGTTTGATGTGAACATTCACTGAAGCTGCTGGCACATATCTGCATGATTTTATGTACTGCACTGCTGCCACACGATTGGTCGATTAGTTACCTGCATGAATAAGCAGGTGTAAAAGTGTTCCCAATAAAGTGCTTGTGTGTGTGTGTGTGTGTATATATATATATATATATATATATATATATATATATATATATATATATATATATATATATATTACTGAGTTCAGGTGTTTCAGCCACACCCATTGCTACCAGATGTATAAAATCAAGCACATGGACATGAAGAGCTTACTGACTTTAAACGTGGCACTGTCATAGGATGCCACTTTTGCCAAGTCACTTCGTAAAAAACCTGCCCTGCTACATCTACCCCTGTTACCCATAAGTCCTATTATTGAAATGGAAACATCTGAGATCAATAATGGCTCAGCCACAAAGTGGTAGACCATGAAAACTCACAGAGGAGAGCTGCCAACAGCTGAAGCTTGTAGCATGTAATAATCACCTGTCTTCTGTGGCATCACTTACTAGTTCCAAACTGCCTCTGGAAGCAACATCAGCACAAGAAATGTGCATCAGAAGCTTCTTGAAATGGGTTTCCATGGCCGAGCAGCTGCGCAATGCCAAGCGTTGGCTGGAGTGGTGTAAAGCACACCGCCACTGGACTGTGGAGGAGTGGAAATACGTTGTCTGGAGTGATGAATCATGCTTCACGGTCTGGCAGTCTGATGGATGAATCTGGGTTTGGCAGATGCCAGGAGACTGCTACCTACCAGAATAAATAGTGCCAACAGTAAAAACTGATGGAGGAGGGAAAATGTTCTGGGGCTCATATATACATACGTTTCAAAAACACCTTTAAAAAACGATGAATTGAACTGTTTTTATTTAACGTTTCACATACTGACATACTGCACTTCACTAAATCCAGTTAAAACAGGACTAATTATACTCTTTCTGTAATGAAACATGCAGTTGGTCAGCGTTCTTGAAGTACTGACAGTATCCACAATATTATCATACTGTCCACCCCCATCATACAGTGTAAAACATATAAGCATTATTTAACAACTCAATGTGGTTTGAGGCCAGTGTGTTTTGATTTAGGTGTGCAATTTCCATGATGCCAAACTGGTAAACTGATAGCTAAGCTTTCATTCAGAACTAAAATGCAGAAGTAAAGAAGCCAACTTCAGACAACAAATGTGCCTAAGCAGACCGGCTACATTTAGGGTAAGCAGAAAACTGTGTAAATTTGATTTTGCCAAACCATTGCTTTAAGTTTCAATCCATGAATCTATCCATAATCACAAGTTCTCCTCTTTGACATATTCTTACATTATACTCCTGGGAAAGTAAGACTATGTCTAATCACTGGAACAGAACAGCTACATGATTCTGCATTAAATGATAAGTTGTGGGCCCCGTCCTAAGAGCGAGATTACTGTCTGATCTGAAGTCAGTTTGGCTCAAGGCTAGTCTACGTCTCTCAGCATATATCAACTGAGGCAGAGTTATTAACAGGCTGGCCTGTAGGAAGGAACAAGGTATTTATGCCATGACGGAGTGAGTAATGATTGCACAGTGGCCCGGATGCAGAGGGCCTCCCTGAGGTGTCAGCGGTGATTTTAGGGCACAGAGTCTGAGTCTGGCTCATGTGTGTTCTCACCTCGCTCTGACACACCAAACGCATGTTCCCCTTTCCCCTTCAGGCAGCCATTACCCTCTCAGACATGCTAATGGTGTCATTCGAGACAATCGCACATTAGCTTTAACAACGTAAACCCCAACCACCAAAGGAATAATCAAACTGTCACACATTGCATCTGCCAGCACTGAGGAATGTCTTAACTGGTGAAAAAAGTTAACGTTTTTTTCTAAAAAGCTGAGCATTTTGTCACAGTGTCACTGTTATTTATATCGCTGACTAGACTTAGGACATTGGAGAATCTGCTAGGCAAACTGACAATGACTGAAAAGTATCTCCAAAATAGTAACGATAATGTAAAGAGATTTTCTTCCAGTTTTAAAGCAATATTATATATTGGTCCTTTTATCATGACATTTTCACAGAAAATAAAGGCCAGCTGCTGTGCACAAATGGCACAGAAAACAAAAATGGAGATGTTTGTTTTTCTTGGATAGCAATGAAATGGAAACTCACACTCCCTCAGAAAAATCTTTCTCAACTCAACTTTCTCAAGCTCAATCACATTTACAATATCTTTCTCCATTACCTGGAGGTCTTCAAATCCAAACCTTGAATGCAGTTTCCAGTCCTGTATTTTGCAATCACTGGTAGTCAACTGGCCTGTTGATGTAAGTGATTGGCCACCTAGTGTCATGCCTACCAGTGACCGAAAAATTCAGAAACCAAATTCAAGGTCCAGATTTAAAGACCTCTGCCACAAAGTGTCAGAGCTTATCACAATACTGCTCCTTAAGCCCACCTGAATAATTAGAATAAACACTACCTACCAAGGATCAGTCAGTGATGTGATGTTAAGCTTTCTGCATGTCAGCATCTAGACTAAAGAACAATAATGAACTACCACTCAACAAAATTACCACAGAAGGAGAAACTATAGAAGAGATAAGACACACAACCTTTAACAATCATGCACAAATGATTATCTTCAGCATAACATAACATCTGCAACCCCAATCATCATCTTGGAGAACCCCTACCCTGCATATTTGTTCTCTCTGCTCAAACATATCTGACCAATCTAACAAATCAATTAATCAACAAGCCCTTCCTGAGTTGACATGACTGAGTTGGAGCAGGGAAAACATTCAAATATGCAGGACAGTGGTGCAATACACTCTTAAAAAGCGGGTCCTTCACGGGTTCGTTAGTAAAGAAAATGCTTCTATAGATCCATGAACACTCAAAGAACCCTTTGCATGATTAAAGGGTTCTTTTCATCATGAAAGGGCGCTTAAGAATGTGCTGTAGATGGTTCCATATAGAATGTTTCTGAAAAGGGTTCTATATAGCAACAAAAAGCGTTCTTTTATTGTTACAATGTCAAGTTTGTTACAATAGAAGAGGTTCTATATAGAACCATCTACAGCACATTGTCCATCAATCTGATAAACCCTTTCATGATGCAAAGAACTCTTTAATCATGTAAAGGGTTTATGGATCTATATATTCATTTTCATTACTAAAGAATCCTTGAAGAACCATCTTTTTTAAGTGTGTAGGACCAGGGTTGGGCTCCACTGGAAGCCCAGAAGAGCCAGTTTTAGTGAGATGATCTGGCAATATGGTGATACCAAAATAAATTATGTCAAATAAGCTTTTCTACTGCACTGACAGAACTTCTAAGAACACTGACTGAAAGTTTCATTAAAAAGACATTTAGCAGTGGCCCAAGATTTTGCCAATTTGTTGAGAGATCACAAGTTCAAATCCTGACAATTAGACTTGATCCCACTGACAAGAGCATCAATCAAGTAGAACGGTTGAAAGCTGTGAACAACGTATTTTCAATGTCAAAAGTACACTTTTCACAGCTTTAAGATGGACAAAAGTAATTACATTTCTCTAGCAATCTATTTTCTTTTAACAAATTTGCTTTTCATGTGTAATGTTAGTCCAAGTCCTGAATCAGCCCTGATATGTTGTCTGGCTTTGAAACGTACTGTAGCAGCGCAGGGTAGGTCTTTATTTTCTTATCCGTGGTCATACTTGTTAAACTGATAAAACCATGCAGCAGCCTTCGACACACAAACTGGCTTTCCTCATGAAATATGAAGAAGGGCTTCAAGAAGATTTAGACATTGTAATAACATCAGTTATTAAAAATAAAAAATATGCATAGCTGCAACAACAGTAACCTTTAGGCTACTTTACACGGTGAAGTTTTAGCCGTTATTAAAACAAAGTTAGCTACAAAGTTTCTGAGCCGAAAACATGTTTATTTTTTTCCTGTTTGAACAGGCCTGGCTGGAAAGATGGTGTTACTACATAACAAGCCACATGAAATGGGTTACAGGAGAAAAGCTCTGACAATGTTCTGGTGAAAGCAGCTATTTTGGTATTTTTTTTCTTTTCTAAATATGTAAGGACAGTAAAATCATTATAAAAACATTTTCAAGCATCGTGACATTAGATTTTTGCCATATCGCCCACCCCTACTGACATACCCGGACAAGTTTAAATGGCAACTTTTTTTTCAATATCTACTAGGAATGCACCGATATGGGAATTGTGTCCCATTCAAACATCTAATATTTTTCCTGTACATACCTTCCAATGCAGATATATAAAAAAGTAGGAAATGTAGAAACTGAGAATAAATCTACATGGATCTCCATTACGGAGAAATGTAGCACTTGTTTGTAGAGGGTTAAAAATGCAGTAAAATTAATTCAATTAATAAAATGCATATTTTTGTGCTGTAGACTTGCATCACCTAAACGTTCTGCTCTTCTGAAGAACAATAAATAGTTTAGCAAATCTCAGTTTGAAATATTGGTAAAATTTAAACAGTCTGAGGCCGATATTTGTTTTCTGAGGCAAATATCTGCTATTACTGATGTGATTCTGAGATCACTGTGCATCCCTAAAGTTAACCCATCTTTCTGTCTGACCTTGTGACTACATGAGACACTTTCTTCCTCTTTGCTGGTTCCTGATGACGCACAGCAGGAGCAGTAACTTTGTGTGTTCTCTCATCATATTTTACACTGACAGCCACAACATTGCTGTACCACAGAGCAGAGGAGGTGACGAAAGCTTTCTTCATCCACATCTACCATATGGCGTATACATTAGCCTACACAATGCATGTGCGTGTGACACTAATGCTAACAGCTCTGAAGGTTACATACACTTTAAAGACGTTTTCACACTCATGTATACTATATTTTGTCTGTCTGTGTAATACAAGTTGCATGTACATTTGCCTACTGTAGAGAGACCTCACAGGAGCCAGTATCTTGCAACAATTTTGTCTCTGGTCAGTCCAATGCCCTCAATTTCCAATGATCTAGAGTCTACCTTCAAGTCCAGAGGACACTGCAGAGCTTTGATTTCATCACACCACTCCACCTCTCCACACGAAGAAGGCACTGTGGATGGAAACATCAGCAAAAGGAACGGAAAAACAGAATCAGGTTCACCATGATACAAATGATTTTGAAGCAGCAGAATGAGGCTCCCATTACCCCCAGTAACACTAGGTTCCTCAACTACTTCAGATTGAGATAGTTAGGAAAATGGTTTCAAATCTTTTGGTTACAACATTAAAAAAGATTTCCATTCCCAAAAAAACATAGTACATTTTGAAGGAAGAACATGAGTTCCTCTGGCTTTTGAGATGTGTCAGCTAACTGAAAGCCTCCACTGAAAATGTTTGTTTTAACACCAGCACAAAGACTCATTTTCAGATCATTAACCACCCAACAAGAGCTGAGTTTAGACTGATGTGTAAATGTCTACATATGAATAAATGCCCTGTAATGAGTCAAAGAAATTGAAGGGCTTTTAAAATTAAACCCTGCTTCTTGTCCAGTACAGTATTGTGCAAACTTCAGACACCACTCTTTCATTTATTTCATTTCCAGCCACAACAGACATTAAGTACAAGTTGTTGTTTTTTTCAGCATCAGGAAAAAAAAAACAGAAAAAGCACACTATATGGCTAAAAGCATGTGGACAGCCCTCTTAACTACTGAGTTCAGGTGTTTCAGCTACACTCATAGCCATATAATCACCACAGAAAAACACTGGCAGTAGAATGGGTCATATTGTGCTCCATACAGTGACTTTAAATGTGGACCTGTCATTGGACGCCACCTTTGCTAGAAGTGTGTAAAAAATATACTCTGCAATGCCAAGCATCAGCTGGAGTGGTGTTAAAGACACTGGCAGTCCCCTTTCTAGCAGTCTGATGAATGAATCTGGGTTTGGTGGAGACTACTTATCGGAATGCAAAGTGCCAACAGTAAAGTTTGGTGGAGGAGGGACAATGGTCTTGGACTGTTATTTAGAGTTTGAGCTCTGCCCCTTAGTTCCGGTGAGGGATAATGTTAATGCTACAGCATACAAAGACATTTTAGACAATTATATGCTTCCAACTTTGGAGCAACAGTTTTGGGAAAGGCCTTTTCCTGTTCCTGGATGACTGTGAAAAAAGTAAAGCCCATAAAGACATAGTGTGACCTTTTGCTGTTGAGGAACTCGAGTGAACTGCAGAGAGCTCTAAACTCAACCCCATAGAACACCTCTGGGTTCTGAATGAACTGGATCATTGCCTGCGAGACAGGCCTTCTCATCCAACATCAGTACCTGGCCTCACAAATGCTCTTTTGAATGAAGGGGCACAAATTCCCACAGACACACTCCAAAATCTTCCCAAAAGAGTGAAAGTCCTCCCAGAAAAGTGGAGGCTGTTATAGCGGCAAATGGAGGGCACCTCTATATTAATGCACATGGTTTGGAATGGGACGTCCAACAAGCTCATATAGGTGAGATAGTCAGGTGTCCACATAACTTTTGGCCATATAGCGTATACTTACAAGAAAATTACAAAGAAGCCAAACAGATAAATATAATATTTTTTTTCAGTATTCAGTGTGCCCACTCTTTGACTTTAATAAAGTTTTCTGTCAGACTTTCTTTCAGTTTTTCAAAGAAATCCGCAGTGATATTTTTCCACACCTCCAAAGTTCAGTCTTAAAAGTTGAGATCCGGAGATTTCGCAGACCACTGCCAGTCCCAAGGTTGCCAGGCCTTTGTTCTCAGAACACCAGCAGCTTCTTTGAACTGCAATTGTACCTTTCCCTTCTACTTTTTTTGTCTATTTTTTTTTCTCAGTAACAGCTACACATCCTTTCAGACTCATAGTGCTGAGTGTCTTCTCACAGTAGAAGGATGGACAAACACCTATGGATTTTTCAGATCTGAAGTAAGAGTGGAGCTTGATTTTCTCCTCTCTCTCAAAGATAAAAACTTTAAGTACTGTTTATCTGATGGTGACAGTTTTGGTCTACCAGGTCTTGCAAGGTCCATTTTCTCTACATGATAACTTTTCAAACTACACCTTTTATTACCACTTTTATATTTCATATTTATTTTCCTTTGAAATTCCCCTTCCCTATGCAAATGGATTGTCCTACAGCAAATCAAACAGACTATCTCCTGGAAAAAAGAAACAATTGTACATAATGGCAGTTTTGACAGGAAATTAAATAAATGAAGGGTGGTCTCTGAATTTTGCACAGTACTGTAAGTGCAAAATGAAATTACAATGATGAAAGAGTGTAAACAAGCTGAAAAATCCTGAAAAGACAAACAGTATCCAGACTACAAAGTGGCATAAGAAATGTACATGAGAGAGTGCAACCAATTTAACCACTTTTCGTAAAGCAAATCAAAACTAGCAAGGGTCTGACTTTCTGGACAGCCTGGGGTGGACTTCAGCATTCCGACCAAGACAGCAAGCCAATTTCAACACTTCCCCACGCCACCTTCCACGCCTGTCCATCTCTGCAGGGGATCCTTAGAGAGAGAGACAGACAGAGAGACAGACAGAAAGAGAGCAAGAGCGAGAGAGCGAGAGAGAGAGAGAGAGAGAAAGAGGGAGAGGGAGAGGGAGAGGGAGGGAGAGAGGGAGAGAGAGAGGGGGAGAGAGAGAGATAGGGAGAGAGAGAGAGAGAGAGAGAGAGTGAGAGAAAGAGGGAGAGGGAGGGAGAGAGAGAGAGAGGGAGAGAGAGAGAGGGAGAGTCTGAACGGCACCACTGACATTGCCGCTACAATCCATCTGTCCCCCAGCAAGCCTCAAACACACAGAACCCACTGTTAGCGCGTCCGTCAGTGCAGCCCCACGCACCCTATTAAAACAGACATCACGCTGAACAGCAGAAACACGGGCCTCCGACCTGCCACTTCTGTACCCCCCTCTCTCTACCTCACTCTCTCACTCGTTCTCTACCTTGCTCTCTCACTCGGCCTGTTAAACCGGGCTACCAGCGGGGCCCTGCTTTAGTGAGGTATTGAGCAGGAAATCATGTTTAGTGTACCTACTCCTGCTTTTAAAAGGGGTGATACGGTGGGGATTGTGTGTTTTCTCTGTATTGAAATACACTCAGCTTGAAGCAAAGTGCGAATGACCTAAAATAAAAACAGAGTGGCTAGAATGAAAGAGAACCGACCTGAAAAGACGAAAAAAGAGGCAAAGAAAGCACAAGCGGCGAGGCCGAAAAGCGGCGGCCAAATGAGGGAGACTGGAGGTATTTTAGAGGAAAGGAGGACGGCGCTCTGAAGGTGGTGGGGGAGGGAGGGGTGTGCGGGAGACGGAGCATTTGATTAAATCTGCGGTTGACGTTTCGGACAGGTGAGATTGATGAGGTTCCTCTACGCTTCACACTGTGCAGAGAGTGAAGGCAGAGGAACAGAAACGTGCAGTGTGGAGAGCCAGGGCTGGGGGCCCTCTCACACCGTGGGGTCCCCGGCCTGATTAATGGCGCTGGAGTCCCTTCAAAAACAGCGCTCCCAGCGCAACAGGACGGCTAGCCCTCCAAAAATAACCAGGCCAGGACAGGCGCAACCAGTACACACCACTGCTCCACAAACCCACAAGGCCAAAGCCCTAATGCAAAGTTTCGAACTGTTTAGCACCAGCGACTTTTATTACTATAACATTCACCCAGCACTGGTCACTCTACAATAGCCATGAAAGAAATGCACTTACTACATATACATATATATATGTGAATACAGAAATATCATCATTAAATCAACAATAAAGAGCTGTGGAACAGACAATACAGTTTAATGATACAGCAGACCTGTAAAAACAGTACATAGGACAATTTGTAAGTGACCTGTAAACTAGGGATGTATCAATATAGGAATTAGGGGCCGGTGCCGACATCTGACATAGAATAGTTGACTAATTGACTAATAAATCCACCAGGCAGCACAGTGGGCAGTAATTGACTAGTTGAGCACAGGGACTGAAACATGGTTGAGCTTAAAAAATATTACAGTGAACCAGCAGGAGTAGACGACAGTTGTCTGTTAAACACAAAGCCCAAAGTACTTAATTTCTGTGGAAATATAGCACAAAATGAAAACAACTCCACTGCAAGCTGTGTAAAACTTCTGAAATCTGCTGAAATACAGGCTCGAAGCCTGACTGGGTACCAGAACCAGCATCTCCGATAGGAAAGGGCTATTTGACTGACATGCAAAAGGACCAATTACAGACAGTTTAGCTCGGCGTTGCCATGGCACATGACATAAAAATTCATGTTTGTGGAGTTCTGGCCGCGACACGCACAAGGACATCTCGTTTTTTCACTACTTTTGGCTTCAAATAAAATTTTGGAATAACTTCCTAAAATGGGATAGCGTTAATGTTTTCTGGTTTAGCAATTAGGCCTGTCGCTCTGAAAGGCTTGTGAGTGAGCGCAGATGCAACTGCTTGCTACTAGCACTTAGCTTGAGTTTCCCAGAGGACTACAAGTAATGCCAGTGAATGGAAGCAAGGATAACCAGATCCACTTTAAATTCTCTATAAGGCAAGATACTGGGAGCTGTGGGGATTTTAGCGAGCAGCTTAAACTAGACAGTCAGTGTAGTATTGCGAGCAGAGTGCCTGAAACTGAAAGTTACTGAAATACCTAAATAAATAAATAAATAAATAAACAAACAAACAAACAAACAAACCAGTCCACTACTTTTTTGAATGATTAGTAAAAATTAATAGTTATGCTATACCTTGCTGATGATGATGATACTTACCTATCTTTATATATATTATATATTAATTATATATTAAATATAGAAAATTGGACTAGTTCCATCAGTTCCATCATCAGCAAGGGATTGTACAATTAGCATTACAGCGAAAAGTAGCACTTCTATAGAACATTTTCATACATATTTTATTGTAGTAGCCCAGCGTCACCTAAACTTCATCTGCTCTTCCTAAGTAAGAAAAAAGTGACATCAAATATTGGTTTTAAACATGACAATATTTTCTTTCTTTGCCTCCAATATCATTGTCCATCCTTACTGTAAACAATGTACATCAGAAAATGTAATCACTGAATATTTCTACCCATGTCAGCTGACTTTTCTTTTTTAACTTTAACGGGAAAAGGCTGAGGTGCTAGCCTAATAATAACACATTAACCACATAAAACTCACAACGAAGCAGAAATAACTTGCACACACCTCATAAATTTATCAATATATATAAATAATTATGGTCACTCTCAGGCATGGCTCTGGCCAGCATTCTTGCTCTCTCTCTTCCCCACTGCTCACTCCTTCACTCCCTCTAATTTCCTCCAGCACAAGCAGTAACTGTTGACTTGAGTCCAGCTCAAAAGTTAGCCTACTTCAATTTAATTAAAAACGTCAGCTTTTCTGAAAGTGTAAGTCTGACGCAACTCACGACCAACACTCCACAGGAGCTCAGAGCCAAGACACCAAGCCCAAAAAATCCAAAAACATAATGAGCCCCCTGAAAAGTCTAAGGATGTTTTTTAAGGCAATGGCTTCATTCATTCTTCAGCGTGATGAACCTAATAACACCAGACTAGTGTGAATTAAAGTGCTTAACTGACAACTAAAAATAAATTGTGTAATAAGTTAATATAATAAGACCTGGCGCATATGCCTCCCTTCCGCTTGTTACCTCTCCTGTGTGGTGCTGGGAGTTGGGTTAATGGCTTTAGCCGACATGAGAGCGAGTGCATTTGGAGCTCATGGAGAATTAAGAGCCGCTTCCTCTTTGTGAAGGCACAAGGCTGGGATGACTGATATCAGCCATTAAGACCACAGGCGATTAAGGGCCGGATAGGGAACATCATGTTTTATCACACAGTCAGAGGCCTGAGCCTGCTGAGGCCCACCGTCATACAACACAAGGGCAACGTGAACAGTCAAGTATTTACTGGGTACAAAAATTAGCCCATCTCATTATTATTGTATTAAGGGGCCCATTTCCCACATTTTTCCTTACATGTTATTGTTTTCCTTCATGTCCACTTATGATGTCTTTGTAGATTTATGTATCAAAGCCTTAACAATTTTTACATGACCATTTTCAAGCCTCTTTTAATTTATTAGGATTAAACAGGCTGTTTTGTTACAGTGCTTTTAAGACTGATATGTCAATGACTTCTGCTCTGATTGGCTGTCCTGTTTTGCTCCTCATTCAGCAGTCCTGACTGAAACACTCCTTACTTCAATGTTAATGGGCAGAACTAACCTGCTGTACGAGACAACAGGCATTTATATACATTTATGTATACAAATATTTTTGTGACAGTGTTTATATGCTACATCCAACTCTTTCATTTCAAACAACTAAGGAAAATCAGTTTTCCATAATATGGGCCCTTTAAAAACCGTACATAAAAGGGGTGTTTCAGCAATTCCCTCACACCCAACACTGTTTTTCTCAAATAACTGGACTTTAACAACCAAACGTAAGGAAATCTAACCAAAATAGTCATTATTGACTTTAAAAACAAGATCAAGTCATTACAGACTTTACACCTTCACAAGAGAATCTATGTCGCTGCCACTTATGTTGCATGCTTGTGAACACAACTGAACATTCTTTTTGCAAATAAATGTTTATTTACATCAGAGGTTTTGTTACATCAAATTTCCAGTATTGCACTCTCAGACACAAGAAGCACTGCTCACCTTAATATTAGTCCACCAAGGCTAAAATGTCTTTTCATAAACGTTCCACGCCAAGAATATGCTCAATGTTTTGACGCACATCACACCTTGGGGCATTGTGAATGTTCACGTTTGTGCTCAGTCGCTCACATTCGGAGAAAATTAAAACAAATGAAAACCAACACCTCATTCCTAATGTTGTTGCTGGTAATGAAGGGGTGCCGAGACGGTTTGGAGGTTTTACTATTACTTGCCACTAGATCCATGAAGCCTTCACCCCTGCCGTCACGGCACACACCTCTCCGCCGTCCCTGGTGACACCGCTGCCTTTAGCTAACAAAACACAGACGGGCTGGCGGTCAGCACACATTCCATCGCGCCAAGCATGAGGCAGCCATCAGCTCACTCAGCTCGTCAATCACACACCAAGGGACAGGGCAGAGCAGCAGAGGTGGACTTTAAACGCCCCATAGCACACTTGTGGTTCAGTAATTAAGGGTCATTGTTGTACTTAGTCACAGTTGCGATTGTTACAGGTGTCTAGGGAGCTATAGGTCTAATTAACAGTTTATTAACGTACCCAAGACACCCTGTGCATGGAGGTGTATGGCATTTTAAGACAGAAATTAGGCATAATGTACTGGAGTCTGCTGACAACACACTTTTAACCCAGTAACATACTTCAACTGTTAAAAAATAGGTTTAGATCAGCTCAGCATGATGAGAAGGTCATGAGATCACTCTGAGATTAAATGGGCTGGGCTGATCCATTTTGAAGTTAGCATTGTAGTACTCAAGTCTGATCTCGGTATCAGGGAGTGGCACGCCACACACTGCTTAAGTTCATACAATCAAAAATGATATAGAAGAGTCACAGTTACCAAGACAACTCTGTATTTGCTCACTGTCTTTGTGAAACCTTGCTGACTGCTTGGAGGCCTTTTCTTTACCTTCTTTTTGGCAGATCTAATATTTACATCTTCTTATGTTTTTCATGTTAGTCTTTGTATATCTCTTTCTCTGTCTAAGTAAACACTGCAGGACTTTAATACTACAAAAAAGGTCCAAGGGGTTCTTTGGGTGATGCCATAGAAGAAACGATTTTGGTTCTCAAACTGGTACTCGGGGACCCTCAGACGGTCCACATTTCTGCCGTGTTTTGAGTTGCATTAGAGCACAAATCTGGAGCTTCTTGGGCTCCCCAAAGACCAGTTTGAGATCCACTGCTCTAAAGAACCATGACTGAAAAAGAAAATGTGAAGAACTTTTCAAAGGCTTAAAGAATCTTCACATTATGTAAAGGTTCTGTATCAATTTAAGGGTTCTTTCTAGAACCTTTACATGATATAGAGGTTCTTTAAACTTTAAAAAGCTTTTTCTCACATACACATCTCATTTACAAAAATGGTTCTTTAAAGAACCACCCACTACAAGGTTCTTTAGAGAACCAAAAGTGGTTCTTCTATGGTATTGTGCAAAGAATCCTTTTTGGCACCTTTACTTTTAAGAGTGAAGTTGTCAGTATTATGCCCAATGTAATATTTCCTATTTCAACTTCAAACAAACAAAAGAAAACACAAAAATCACGTCTGCCCACAATCTTATTGTTATGATTAACACGGCACCCAGATTTGTACAATAGTGTTGTGATGGTGGATAAGTAAGACGGCAACAGAACTATCTCTAGATTCAGAGGTCAGTGTCCTTGGAATATATTGTTGTAGTCTTGTTTAAATAAACAAACCTTAATAATTATAAACCTTACAAATATGGACTCTAACACTGCGCACAGTCTGATTAAGTATACATCTTACATACATCTTCTAAACCGCTTATCCTTCTTATCCTGGGGTGCTGGAGCCCATCCCAGCTGTCATTGGGCGGCAGTCCATCGCAGGGCAGACAGACAGACATACACAGTCACACACTCACTCACACCTAGGGGCAATTCAGCATGTCCAATCAGCCTGACTGCATGTTTTTGGACTGTGGGAGGAAACCGGAGTACCCGGAGGAAACCCACGCAGACACGGGGAGAACATGCAAACTCCACACAGAAATGACCCCAGTCGCCCGGCCGGGAATCGAACCCAGGCCATTCTTGCTGTGAGGCGACAGCGCTCTTTTAGTTTATCAATATACCAAATTACTACGTCTAAACTACTACAATGAATTAAATTTAACCTTTCAAAAGGGCAATGTCCAAAAGGACAATATGAACTTATAACATCCATATGATATTTCTGGTGACAGGTGGACACAACAGTAACGGTTTAAAAGGAAAAACTTACCTTTTTTTAAAAAGGCTTTTTGCCTCTAGTAATTCACAAGTCTCACACAGACTATGAAGACTGGAGGAGAGTGATGTCTGTTAGATGTTTGTCAGGTTGCACAAGCCAATACGTTTGCATATAAATGAAAACCCATAACATAATTTACAAATTAAAAAAATACTGTTGGCAACTGCTGTTAAACAGATAAGACATGGAGTACGAGGAAGGAAACTTTTTGTTTAAACCACTGCTTTAAGTTTGTTTCAGAAACAACGATAACATAAGGAAAGTAAACCCAATTTCATCACATCTCTGAAAACCGCTGACATGCCGGCAAAGGTTTCTTTCTTAAACTGGAGAGCTGATTTCGTAAACATCCCCTACATTAACATTACTGACAAGACGTTGCAAGTGAGATATATTCAGTGTAGAATCTAACACGTGAATTATTTGTGCTGTTACAACTTAAACTCATGTTATTCATGTCCAGCCAAACTCCCTCTCCTCAGTGACCGATCCTTCGGTACAGAATACGTACACCATGTGACAGTATTTGCCCGGGATATTTAGCGTTAGCAAAGAAGCTTTCCTGGATCTTTCCAGAACATTCCTTCATACATCCTAGTTTTCTATTCATGGTGCAGGTACCATAGTTGAGGACAAAAATGCAAAAACAATGCACAGATACACAAATCTACATTTAGACGCTAAACATCTTTGCAGCAGCTACTTTATAAGTTTGCAAGCTTGTTATGTTTTGGTCTGAATCTGGCGGTTAGCTATCTAGTTACCGACAAGAAGAATATTTTGCAACATGAGCAACAGAAAATACACTTAATCTACAGTATCTAATCCTCTGAATCCTCTCCCTCTGAAGGACGAAGCTGAAGTTAGCTTCTTGTTCGAATTTTCCCGTCCCACCTTAAATGGTGTGGCAGTTTCATTCTGGCGCCTTGGATCAGAATGTGACTTCTGCACTATTTAAGGTGAAACGGGAACATTAGAACAAGAAGCTGGCTAGAAGGAAGTCCACTGAAGGTGAATCACCGCCGCTTCTTTAACGCGTTAAACAAAAATGACACCTAAACAAAAACACGACTAAGTTAAAGTGAATGCATACCTTCGTTTTCGGCAGCTTCTCGTTGCAGAATAATCTTTTTTGCAGAGAGTTTTTTTGAATGAAGCATAAAAGACACTTCACGTTTCTCCTTATGGAGAGCGCCATGTTGAATTCACAAGCACAACATCTATGGTGGCCCATGAGGTCCAAACCGTTGCTACCTCAAAAGTCACAACAGAATTTACCTCGTTTCAAAACGTTTGCAAACCATTTTCTCATTTTCGGTATCATATTTGTATGATATTACATTTATATATGTACAGGTTTGTTTATATTTTACTCGTTTAATTCTCATGTAACTCATATAATAAGCCCAAAGCTAAAAACAGGCTTTCTATAGAACCAGACTCCAATATTTGTTAGGCCTGCATTCAAAGCTTGGTGACAGTTTATTTTGAGGTGTCCTGTTTAGATCTCAGTAATGTCAGTAACATATCAACAGCATAGTAATAATCTGAATACATTCAGTAAATTAACAAGAGTCTTTTAATAAACTGCATAAATAAATTTAATTTATAATCTGCTGAATTAAATAGTTTTTCACTTTATTTGTAGTGTCCAAGTTCATATGAGGGTAAGGGTTAGGATTACGTTTTGAGTCAAGGTTAGGATTAGGGCCAGGGTTAGGGTTAGGTTTTAGGTAAGGATGGGTTAGGTTGGGTTTTCCTTAATAGAAGAAACAAAATAAGTCTACTTTATGTAACATAACAATACATCTACTTAACGTAAGTAATGTATCAACAGTACATCTTCAAGATATTTACTTCAGTGTATCCAGATGCTTCACTACTGCTACATCACTGATATGTTGTTGATGTGTCTGTTAAGAGTTTATTAATCACTTACGAAGGACCACTTAAATTAAGTGTTACCCAAAGCTTTAATACATTTTATGGAACAAAACCCCCAAAACCCCACAGCAACAATTCAGTCACACAATGAATTTGCCCCTCGTTGATCGAAAGGTGTTGTGCTCAGACTTGGCCCTCCTCGGCTGCTTCACGGTCCACCGCCCAACTGTTCGCTCAGCCCTATTGGATTATCCACCATCCCGGATTGTTTTACACATGTTTAGAAGGCTGCAGAGTTCAGGCCCTGCTTCACCCCCTTCACCCACATCTGCTGCTGGTTTCTCCCACTTTGCATCTGGTTGTATTTGCACAAATATAATTCCATATTCAGAATCATCTCCCGCGGCAGTCAGCACTGTATTTCATGAAACCCTGAGCAAGAGCTTTCTAACATCTGTGTGTGAATATACCAGTGGACCTGCCTGTTTGTGCCCCCTCCAACCCCCTCACCCAGTCCTACAGCCTCTGGGCTCTGTTTCCTGGCCACCCAGTAGAGATTCTTCACTTTGCACCTCCATCATGAGAATTTTTTCATGAAAGTGTGTGCTATTTTTCTTTCCTTCATCTGTCCAGAATAGGTGGTTTTATTCCAACCTCTCCTCATATTCCCCATGCTTCTATCTTTAACCTGCTATTACAGCCCAGGGTGCCTGGAAGAGACTGTTTTTGTGCAGTGGTAAATGCTGAAATTATTTGTGTGTGTGTGTGTGTGTGAGAGAGAGAGAGAGAGAGAGAGAGAGAGAGAGAGAGAGAGAGAAAGAGAAAGAGAGAGAGAGAGGGTGGGAATGCATACATGTCATCTGGCTGTGATAGATTTAAGGATAAATATGTGGATAATCTGTGTGTGTGAGCGTGTGTTTTGGAATGTTTGTTCATGTTTGCATGAGAGTGTGTGTTTATGTGTGTGTTATGTATGTGTGTGGTCCATTTGAATTGCATCCTTCTACAAACTAATTTTAGGTGATGTAGTCTGCATTTACATGCATGCATGCATATGCTTGTTACATCAAATATTATAGAAAGTCGGGTGTTGGGTGCTTCTAGTGAATCTATGTTTTTTGGCTATAAGGCTCATATAATAAGTCTCTTAATCTGCACTTTAAATAGGCATTCTGGCCTAAAACTAGAGTTTAATATACTATTTGTCATGGGTCATCAATGTTCTCTCATACAAAAACCAGCATGCATTACACTAGTACATCATACAACCACTTGGAATCCCTGTGGTGTCACCCAATCTTGACTGCAAACCTATGATTTTATTTTTACTGAAATGGACAGAAGAGATATGTTTTTTACAGTTTCTTTCAGATAGAAATAAAGAAAGCAAAACTTAAAGTAAAGTATCTAGATAGCTGAGAAGCTACTTTGCTCCTCAAAAGCCATTTCTGCCATTTGAGAAATGCATTCTCTCCATTGTTATGATCATTTGAAGACATTTACTACAGTTAAATGGCTGCAATAGAAAATTCAGCTTCCTAGCAGTAACATTACCTTGCTGCCTTCTGTTTGCATTCACTAGCTAATGAAAAAATAAAAAACATTTCAGAACAACCTGCCTGCAAAAAGCATCCCAAAGCAGTTGAAGTTTTTCAGCACCTTCAAAATACAACTTTCTCAGTCTTTAAACCAGAAAATCTCACCCAAGAGATGGAGTGTCCCTCTAAGTCGATTAATTCTACTATACTCTCACAAATAACCATGCTGCAATAAGCATGATATGTGGCGTTTTGATTTATGTTTGTTCTACACAGGCTAAAGGAATCTGAATAGTCGTTTAAAACAATTCTAATATGAATGACTTTAATCACATGTTTGTCTGTGTGGCGAAGAAGTAGTCCGCTATAGGAAACAACATCCCTTCACCTACTCCAACTGCATGCAGAAAAACGAAACTCTGTCCGTCTACCAAATGAAAGTTTTCATCACCCTCCATGGTCACTAATTGTTCATCTCCTCACCACAGATCAATCTGCGTGGCCACCCTTGTGGTTCTCTCATCTCTTCTGAAAGCACCTATGAGGTCTCCTTCTTATTCCTCGCCGGAGTGTATTGAGATCAGGGCCTATTGACCGCTCCTCCTGTGCTGAGGAGAGAATAGGCTGGTTGGTGGTGACCGACAGTCCACCTGTGATAATAGAGACAGGCAGGGGGCCCGGGGAGCGCTGGGGCCGGGAACTGGGCCTCAGCCTGCATCAACGACTCCCTGATCCGCCTCCATCCTGACACTGACAGACAGGCCGTCCCCTCTGACACCACGGCCCGCCGAGCCCATGGGGCGCCTGCCACCCAAGTGGATGGATGGATGAATGGATGGGAAGACGGATGGATCAACTGCTTAGATAGATGCACAGTTCCATCTAATTGAAAATTTTGAGGAGTGAGAGCCTAGGGAAATTTCCATAGATTTAACCTTTTTTTGCTCCTATTTCAGTGTGAAAGTCTGTTAAGGAAAATAAACACTTGGAGAAAAGTATTTTGTGTAAAGCAATGTTTGCTTCTCAGAGGAGAGTCTGGTTTTCATTATAGCCGTGCCATGTCTGGCTAGCCTGTAGCCCAGAGCCAGAAACCCAAATGAGCACAAGGCTCAGGGCTAAAGGTGGCCTATAATGGAGTTATGTCCATGCTACACTCACTACAACTAAGAACAGAACTGACTTCATGCTCCATCCAGAAATGCGTCCTTTTGTAGCAACTATTGCAAAATTGCACAAGCTTTATAGAACATTAGCAAAAATTCCATTCAAAATAACGAAAAGATGTATTGCTTTTTGTTTATGTCTGGTACTTAAAGTTGAGTTTTCAGTTTAAAATGCTGTGCTACTACACCAGACAATGTTGTTCTAGCTAATCAAAACTAGAAAGGATGGATATGACAATGATGAGTATGCTAATGTTAGCTCAACTGCACAACAAAAAAACATCTGATCTATACATCTGATCTATCCTAACAAATTACCATTTTTACATGCACACAATAGCCCAACTAAAGCCATGTTTCCAAATAAGTTGGGACACTGTGCAAAATGTAATTGAAAACAGAATGAATTGATGTGCAAATCATTTAAACCCAATATTGAACTGAAAATAGTACAAAAACAATGCTGAAACAGAGAAATTTGATTATTTTTTGAAAAATATATGCCCATTTGGGAAAAGTTGGTACAGGAGCAACAAAAGGTAAAGTTGTGTAATGCTAAAGCAAAACCTGGTGGAACATCTCACAACTAATTATGTTAATTGGCGACAGGTCAGTAACATGATTGGATGTAAAAAGAGCATCTCAGAGAGGCTGAGTATTTCAGAAGTTGGGGAGGGGTTCAGTACTCTGTGAATGACTGTGAAGGCAAATAATGTAACAATTCAAGAATAACATTCTTCACCATAAAATAGCAAAGAACTCAGGGATTTCATCATCTACAGTACATATCATTCGAAGATTCAGAGAATCTGGAGAAATCTCTGTAGGCAAGGGTCAAGGCCAAAACCAATAATAACTGGCCGTGATCTTTGGGCCCTCAGGTGGATTAAAAACAAACATGATTTTGAAGTGAAAATCACTGCCATGGCTCAGGAACACTTCTAAAACCACTGTCTGTGAGCACAGTTTGTCGCTGCATCCACAAATGCAAGTTAAAACTCTATCATGCAAAGAAGAAACCATATGTGAAAAGGATCCACAGAAATCCTGCCAACTTCTCTGGGCCAGAGCTCATTTAAGATGGACTGAGGAGAAATGGAAAAGTGTGCTGTGTCCAACAAATCAAAATTTGAAATTCTTTTTAAAGATCATGGAAGCTGCATCCTCCAGGTTAAAAAGGAGAGGAACCATCCATCTTATTATCACAGTTCAAAAGCCAGCATCTGTGATGGTGTAGGGGTGCATTAAGACATATGACAAGGTGACTTGCACATCTGTAAGGACACCATTAATGCTGAATGATATATTCAGATTTTGTAGCAACATATGCTGCCATCCAGACAACGTCTTTCTCGGGGAAGGCTTTGTTTATTTCAGCATGTATTACGACAGCATGGCTCCATGGTAAAAGTGTCCAGGTGCTTAACTAGCCTGCCTGCAGCCCAGATCTGTTACCCATTGAAAACATGTGGTGCATTATGAAAGGAAAGGAGAACCTGAACTATTGAGCAGCTGAAATCTTATATTAAGCAAGAATGGGAAAACATTTCACTTTCAAAACTACAGCAATTGTTCTCCTCAGTTCCCGAACACTTACAGAGCTGTTAAAAGGAGAGGTGATGAAACACAATAGTAAACATGCCTCTGTCACAACTTTTTTTTTAAACATGTATAAAATTTCTCAGTTTCAACATTTGATATGTTGTCTTTGTACTATTTCAATTAAAAATAGGGTCTTGAATGATTT